GACAGTACTACTGTGCATGTACTGTGCTGTACAAATGCTATAACAGCAGCACTCCCACATGGCAAGTCCTTTATGTAGCATTCCATGAAGCAACACTTGCGGACTCGTGGGCAATGATCAAAATTCTGGCATAGCAGAACAGCAGTGTGCTGTATGGAAATTTCTGTGGAAGGCCACGGCTCCCAATATCTCCCAGTCAGTGCAACGACAGCAGGTTGTCAAGTTTTCAGGAATGCATTGTCTGAGGATTCATGCCACAGATATTGATCCCATCCCTCATTTGGAATCAGGTCCTGCACGTCGAGCAGGAGGCCGTGGGAGAAGACATCACAGTGCTGGATGCAGTGCTGGAGTGTGACGTTGAGAGAACAGCACTGCTGAAGGAGGAGGAGGAACTGCTTCAGGAAGGGGAGAAGGTAGGACCCTACAGGGCTGCTAGAGAGCAATGACATGAGACTTGATGTTGATGTTATGGACTGTCAGCTGAGGGCAGCCAGCTTGTGGGCTGGTGCTGCAGCTCAGGGATGGGGTTTGGGGACCTTCAGAGCTGCCAACAGCAGTGCCGTTTTCCCTGACACCAAAGGGAGTTGCTACACCCAGCAAACTAACTACAGGCATGGTGTCTCAAGACCAGATCAGGATTGTTCTTGCCACGTCAATTCTTAAATCTTACTTGGAGCTCTCAATTCTTATTCTTGATTCCTAATATTTGGTAATTGGATTGCATTTGTCAACCGAACTTGACAGACATGGACTCTGGGACCTTGGAAGGCGACGATAGGTGCAGCATCGCCAATGATGGTGCTTCTGTTAACCATGAATCCAGATTCCAGCACCTGGTCATGCCTAATCAGTAGTTTTCATGCTGTGCTGCACGCCATGCTGAGCAAATCTTGTTGCAAATGATCTGTGGCTTTGGCATTGCTACCAGCTGAACATCAGCAGTGTGAATGCAGCATTTAGAACAGTAGTCTCTGGTTCGTATACATTATCATTCACTCGCTATTCCTCAACACAGCCAGCAAGCGCACATTTGCACAGTGTGACTGTCATGAATTCCTTTGATAAGCATTGCAGCTCTTGTCTGCCATGTACTATCTAAATCCTTAGGAAGTTTCTCCTTGCATGGTTGCTTGCAACAAGTCATGGAATCAAAATTGAATCAAAAATAAGTAAGCAAGTAAGAGTCTTGTGAATGTGCTTGAATTTTTAAGTGCAGAGAGGCAATTGGCAATCCTTGCTATGTCCCTGCTCGTTGTGAGCTCTGGGGCAGTTGCACCTGCGAGTGCATGGATTCTCGGTGTGTTGGTCACTCTCAACGCAATTGGTTGAAAATATTTTGAATGTCGAATCAAGTGTGGGTAAGGCCCCTGTGGATTTGATGTATGCCTAAGACCGACTGTGTCTCCCCCCCAGAAGTGCAGCACGTCGTCCGCTGACGGCTCTCCCGATCCCCCCTCCGGCCGCCTGGCCCAGGTGTACAACCGCCTGACAGAGATCGACGCCTACAATGCTGAGGCCAAGGCGTCCACCCTGCTGGCCGGCCTGTCGTTCACGCCGGACATGATGCACATCCCCACCAAACGCCTCTCTGGGGGCTGGCGCATGCGCCTGGCACTGGCCCAGGCGCTGTTTGTGGAGCCAGACCTGCTGCTGTTGGACGAGCCCACCAATCACCTGGACCTGCATGCAGTGCTGTGGCTGGAGGACTGCCTGGCAAAGTGGCCCACTACCTTGCTGGTGGTGTCCCACGCGCGGCAGTTTTTGAACGGTGTGCCCATAGCCCTGGCGATGCACATCGCGGTGCTTTCGTCCGAATAGGAGCCGGACGGAAACCAGGAATTGGAAATGCTAGGGAGCAAGAGAACTGGGTCCAGGGTATCACCCAGGCACGAAATGGGCTTAATGTGTTGACGGTGTACATTTGTGGAGAGCAAAGGACGTTCGTGAATCGTGACATGACTCGTCCTTGAGAGTTATCTGACTTGAAATTGGCAAGGATGCAAGAAATAGACTATGACTAGGAAGCGAGTTGGGGATGGGAAATTTGTAGAACATCGGAAAGCACATTGAGAGGAATAGAACCTGTCTTGCCCTTGTGTGCATATTTTGGTCTGAACTGTGACTGAGAATTTCTGAGCTTGAATTTGTTGAATTCAATTGACATTTAATGCACTCAATGCTGTAGAAAGGCACTGCACATCTGCATTTTGCTTGCTGGCAGTTGCTCAAGACTCTGAGTAGCCCTTTGCAAACATCACTGTGACAACTCATGCCCCTGATGCTCCTCCTGTTTCCACAGCTGTGTGCACTGACATACTGCACCTGCACTCCCACAAGCTTGTTGCATACAAAGGCAGCTTCGACGTCTTTGAGCGCACGATGCGGGAGCGGCTGCTCAACGAGCAAAAGCGCACTGAGGCACAGCTGGCACAGAGGAAGCACATGCAGGTGCAGTGCATGGTCCTTCTACCCTTGTTCCTTGCACAGCTCAGAAGCACTATTTGATTGCATTGTTTTACTACTTCTCTGGGAAAACATCGATAAAGTTGCTAGAAGACACTTGTCTTCAACGTTTCTTGGAGTCCAAAATATTGCCTCATTTCACCTTTCAATGTGGGATGATCCATGCAATTGTCAAGCAAAAGACTTGTCCCATGGGCTGCATGATAACCACTGCCAATTCGCATCCACATGGCTTGCAGGCGCCGGACCCACCGCTAGCATCAGCTCCAGACATGGTGACTTGCTCCATGTCCCCAGTGAGAAATGCCATCCGCAGTCCACATTTGCACATACTTGTCTGACTTGGTTTTGTGCCTGCAATGCGTGCCAGGCCTTCATCGACAAATTTAGGTACAACGCAAAGCGCGCCTCGCTCGTGCAGTCTCGCCTGAAGGCCCTCAACCGCATGGAGGAGATTTCTGTGGTGGAGAGGGATGCAGAATATGTCTTCCGTTTTCCCAATCCCGGTGGGGCTGTGGCACCTCCCATCGTGTCGTTCAGGTAAATGCAAGAGCACAACAGATAATTGTAATGCAGTAAGTAAGTGATGAGCATGAGCATTTGTCAACACCTTGTCCTGCATTTCTCTGCCCTGAAGCGCATTGAGTCTGCACTTGTTCAAGTGGGCTCCCACTGAGTGTGCTTGCCAAAAACTCGGGCCTGCTTGGCACTGTCCTGGCATGCTCTGGCTGGTGTTGGAGCTTTTCACAAGCACAAAATGGGCTGCCAGCCGAGTTTCCGTTTTCTGTTGATATCAAGCATTGCGTTTCCTGTGCATTTTATGTGCAGGCCTTTGCTTTTTGTGTTCTGCATTCCAAGGTTTAATGTGTTTCTATGCGCACCCTCATCCACCACTGTTCAGAATCTAGCAGGAGTCAATGCCCTCACACCTGTTGGATGATGCCAGTCGCAATTCGCAGCACTGCTTGCACAAAACGCATCAGGCTGCGCCTGAACAGCCCAGGGCGCAATTCATGCATGGCAGAGAATGCACATTTGGGAACAAGCTGACTTCTGACCACTTTCGCGGTGTACAGCGACGTGGACTTCAACTACCCGGGGGGCCCCACGCTGTTCAGTGGTCTGAATTTCGGGCTGGACCTGGAGAGCCGCTGCGCCATTGTGGGGCCCAACGGCATTGGCAAGTCCACGCTGCTGAACCTTATTGCTGGCGCATTGGAGCCAACGGTGGGGTATGTGCAGAGGAATGCAAAGGTGAGGGCTGTGTGCTGCGGAATTGAGCCAGGCTGTGCGCGGCAGTTTCAATCATTGTGTGCATTTTCAACAACTGATGTTTGAAAGAACGTCTGTATGGGTGATCCAAATGTGTACTCCCGCACCGTTGAGGTGCTGTCAATTGATACTTGATTGGGAATCGAGCGTTGGATTTCGACGGGCTGCAATTGCATTGGATGGGAGCCCACGCAACCCTGATTGAAATCGAGCGAGCTTGGCAAATACTCCGGGAAAAAACATCCTGTGTGCTGCTTGCTGTATCGAATGCTGGGGCCTCCTATCCTCCCTCAAATTCTGCAGAACGAAAAGGGTAGGATATGGTGCTGTCACCGAGGATGTGGCTGCGTCCTTGATATGCATGTCCAGGATATGCAACTCTGTCCCGACTTTGGAGTTTCCGACTGCATTTCTCGCATCGAATCAATAGCAAGGATGACAGTGTGATCTGAGGGCAGTCGTGGCGTTGCTGCAGGTTCGCTTCGCCACGTTCAGCCAGCACCACGTGGACGGCTTGGACCTCGCGCTGACGCCCCTCCAGTACATGAAGAAGATGTTTCCAGACTCGAAGGAACAGGTGCACCGGTCGCACCTTGGCTCCTTCGGCATCTCCGGAGACCTGGCTCTCCAGGCCATGTACACGCTGTCGGGAGGCCAGAAGAGCAGGGTGGCGCTGGCGAAGGTGAGGAAAGGGCCGAGGGAGAGGAGCTGGGTGACAGCAAGATCATGCGTTGCTGTGTGTTTTTGTTTTATTTTGTGGTTGCGCTGGTATGCTGCTTCTGTACCATAGCTAGTACTGTATTTCATTTGTACTGCATAGCTGAAGTGAATTGGTTGTCTGTGCAACAGTCGACACATGGCTGTCCTTAGGATGGCCGAATGAGGCAAACATATGCACAAGTGCGAAAACGCAAGTGTGCCAAGTGCGGCTACGTACCACAATATGCAAGTACCAGCAATGTACCACGGCAATGATTTGCGTACTCGCTGTGTTCGGGGCTTGTTTGGGCCACCGCCGCTGTTTGATGATCTCAATTAGTTGGGATGAGGGAAAACGACTGCATGCATATTGAACTGATTGCCCTCGCGAGCAGCGGTTCCAGCGCAAGGCCAAACCGCGAGTCGCTTTGTTCCGTATCTCTTGTTTGCACGCTTTGACATCGCTCGGTCGACTGTCGATTGCCAGACGCTCAGCATGCACAGTGGACTGCTGACTGCGCAACCTCGACTGCTAGTGTGCTGGGTCTTCGTGATTGACCGTGCGTGTAATGTTTGGACGGCTGGCTCCTGATGATTGAGCATGGGGTGTTTGACGCTTGATGTTTGGCTGTGGGCGTTGACTGTAGAGTTTGGGCTTTTGGGGTCTGAATGCGGTGGTTTTTGTACGAGCGCGGACGCTTGATGGTTGGCCGTGGGCGCTTGCCAGCGAGCGTTTGATTTTTGGTGTTTGGTGGTGCGCATTTTATATGCTAGCGCTTGAGCGTGCATGTTTGGCTTCAGGCCTTAAGCTCTTGATAGCTGACCGTGTGCTTTTGACCCCTTGGTGGCAGACCACGTGATTTTAGTTTCAGCGTTCGATATTTACTGGCTTGACTGTTGGAGCCCAAACAAACATACCATATCACGCATCAAGGCAATGAGGCATCCGTCACGTGCTCGTTTCACCAAGGACAACAGTGCCAATAACTTGTTCAACCGCAGTCCAAAAGCTTGCGGCAGCCCTGTGAGGGCGCCATTGTTTCCCCATCGCTTGCTGACCGCCGCCCGACGGCTCAACCCTCCAGATTACGTGGAAGAGCCCCCACGTGCTGCTGCTGGACGAGCCCAGCAACCACCTGGACATCGACGCCGTGGACGCCCTCATCGAGGGCCTCAACCTCTTCAGCGGCGCCGTGCTCATGGTCAGCCACGACCAGTACCTCATCGAGTCGACGGTGGACGAGCTGTGGATGTGCGAGGGCGGGCGCGTGGACGTCTTTCACGGCACCTTCGATGACTACAGGAAGCGGCTCAGGAAGTTGTAGATTCATTCCTTTCATTCGTTCATTTGATTGATTGAATTCTTGGGGGGATGGATGCGGGTGGTCGAATTGATGCGGCGGGCGCTCGCGGCGCGTGAGAATACGTTGGTTCCCACTTCTTTGTCTTGAAGACCCCTTCTTCTTTTGCTGACAAGGCCAGTGGGTCAGGAGGCCAGTGGGTCAGGAGGCCAGTGGGTCAGGAGGCCAGTGGGTCAGGAGGCCAGTGGGTCAGGAGGCCAGTGGGTCAGGAGGCCAGTGGGTCAGGAGGCCAGTGGGACAGGAGGCCAGTGGGGCCAGGGGGCCAGTGGCGTAAGGCTTGGCGCGTCGAAAGAAGAATCGACGATCACAAAAAGTCAGAGGGACTGATTTCGTGTCGCGGCGCGTCCCGACCCGGGAGCACTGGGCTGCGACCATTGTGGAGCGGCCGGCCGTGGATGCTGATGTGACGTGCCCGGCGACGGGAGTGGCGGTTACGAACGGCCGGGTTCGCGCCCACATGTGTTGGGGGAAGTCGGCTGGCTCGCGGTTGGGTTGTGTTTGGGTCGCCAGTCCATGCCAAGCTGTGCTGGTGCCCGACCGGTGTATCGTTAACTTGTGGGAATCGGGGGCTGGGAGTTGTCGCCAGAGGCAGCGAATTCTTGTGGAACAGCTTGATGCCATTCATGGCGAAGTGTGCCATTGTGCGAGGGTACATTTCCGCACCTATGCTGATGGTGATTTTGTTGTCCTTTATTCTTTGTCTAAAGCTGTTCCAACGCTCGAAGCGCGTGGTTCTGTCGCCAGTTTTCTTCGCAAGTGTCTCTAATTTCAGCTTCTGTTAAACTGCTTCGCGCGTCACTGTTCAGTGACCAATACCTGGCCGTGTAGGCGCAGAGACTTGAAGCGCTGTCAGTTGGTGTCGTACGAGAGCTTGACAATCAAGGATGACTGAAGAGCATCGGAGAGATGCTCCGTATCCATATAGCTGGAAAGATTCAGGATATGGACAGCTCGTATCTGGATATGGGGCTCCAACATCCACAGGGGGGTCCCCAGCGGGAATCACTGGCGAATGATTGCAAGGAGTTAGGAGGCCATCGGTGCCATTAGTGCACCGGCAGAAACCCCTTTATCGGCAGGAAATGTCCCGGATGCCTCAGCCTCCAACGTCAGTCACCTCCAGTTTATGAAAATGGGCCGGCGTTGCCACAGTTGGTATTCTTGACGCAACCACGCTGGTACGTCCAACTGTGTGCCGAAGGGGATGGTGGGACACCGTGGGGCTGAGCCGTCAACTGAGCTGAAAGCGAGCATACAACACCGAACAGGTCTGCCAGGGCCACCCAGGAGTGCCAAACTTCTGCTCCTTGTGATTCTGCAACCACGGAGGTGGAAACGCCTTTGGGGCCTTAACATCGCCTTGCGCTTTGTTGCACGGTGGCACAAGGCTCGCACTGTGTTAGCACGTGGGTTGGCGCCTGGACACGGACATGCGATGCAATGGTTGCAATAGTTAAGGAAATTCAACGTCAAGGAACGACTCAAGCAGCATCGAAAAGGCCCATTGAGAATCGAAAAAATGAATCTGAAAGGCGCTCAATCACTGTTCCAGGAGCATGGGCGCCTCACGGCGGAAGCTTCCATTCCCGTCCCGAAGTTTCCCTCCCCTTGCAGACCACCTTCCCCCCGGACTTTACGTAAGACACCTCCGACCACGTCACCCTGTCGTGGAGCATGGTGTACGCCAGGCAGACGGGCAGCGTCAGGTTGCTGACCACCATTCCCGCCCAGAACCGCACAAAGTGCATGAAATCAACCTCGCGGACGTCCGCCTCAGGCGACAGCTCCCGGAACAAGTCGAAAATCGCTCCTGAAGGAGTGGCACACAACAATGTCACGCACTTGCCGTGGTGAGCATGACAGTGACGGCATGTGACGCAATGGGAGCCACTGTCGTTCCATCGCTATGAACTGCCGTGTTTATTAACCCATACCACAGAGCGACGTAGCGCTTGGCCTTTTCGCTAAGAAGCATTGAATAAAATCTTTGGGGAGCAACACTGTTAAACAAACACTTCCTCCGTCCCAGATTAATTGTCGTCTTTTTGAAAAAGTGAGACACGACCCCTTTGAGCGTTAGGCGAAAGGCGATCTTGGTCATTCTTTAACATCAAATATCGAGGTGTACTAGGTAAAGCGATACAAAGTACTGCCAAATCCTCAATATTCAATGGATTGACTTGAAATTTTGACAGCATACTCCAAACTCACAATCACAATTTTAGGTCAAACTTCACTGAAAACTGATGTCGGTATGATGGAGAAATAATGCCCCAAAGTCGTAGACGACAAACAATCTGGGGCGAAGGAAGTAAAGTAGCGCTCTGGACGAAAGACGCTGAGCAAAAGGCGTAATGGCATAGCTTTTTGATGCGGAAAGGTTCGATAAAATATGGTAAACAACAAAACGCATCGATGAACAAATTGCTGCTGGCACCCGCTTCAGCAAAAGGTGAACACAAGACTCAAGCGCCGATAGCGCTTCGGCCATGCACTGCTGCCTGCCCAGCGGTCTTGAAAATATTGCCAGTCATATTGGCAGGATCATTGGCTGCGGGCGATCACAGAGCCCCACAGCTCCATTCTGCACTCTTGTCCTGCATGGCGAAAAGGCGAAGCCAAGACGAGCTGAGTATTAGCTCCACGCCCTTCCAAACGGGGCCTATCTTTCGCTCTCAGCTGCGATTCGAGACGATTTGCAAGCAAGCGGCTTGGAATGGGGCGCGACACAAAACGGAGAGGTGGCGATGCCATAGTATGCTCAACCCTTACGCGTCAAAAAAATCTACCGTTACGCTCTTTGCTCCGCCCTTTTCTTTTCAGAGCGCCACTTGAATTTCAAAGTTGCTCTGCAGAAATTCTATTAAGCTTTCTCCGCAAAAAGTGACCAAGCGTTACATTACGATGCAGGAGGGTCGAACATTTCACGGTGCAGAGTTTCGGTCATTCTCACCAGTCATTCTCATAAATCCGATGTGGGCCACCAGCCAAATGACGAGATAAGCCACAGTGCCCCACGACTGCGCTGAGCAGGACGAGAGTTGGAAAGCCCTGGGCCAGTCCAGGGAGGCGTCCTCCCCGCTGAAGACGTGGCGTGTCAGCACCAGCACCAACTCAATCTGCCACAGGACGACCCGAAGGAGCGCTGGGAACAGCACAGAAAGGCCCGACTCGGCAACAGTGGGCGACAGTGCACAACGCATTGATGACAAGGCATGCTGAGCACGAAATGAGCCATACCGACAATGGCCATATTCAGCTGCCACGCTGTCCATGCAGTCAGACCTGCAGTGGCCCTTCTGTCCTTGTACTGTGTTTGACAGCTCATGGTCTGAATGAACTGAGAGCCATTGTTTCATACCTCCATGGGATGGACTGGTAGACATACGAGGTCCTGCACAGAGTTCGGTTTTAGAAGACGGCCTGCACTTCGCCTCCAATACAGCACTAAATCTGACTTTGTCTGCTTTGCAACTGCTTAGTTCATTATCCATGCTGCTTAAATGTTCAGTCTATTCTTTACTCATATTGGCACAAGGCAAGGCCACTTGCCAACACACAAGCAGCCATGGCTCACCTTCCAAGATTGGGAGGGCTACGGCACAGGAAGCCACAAAATGCGCTGCAGCCAGGGAATAATTTATCCTCCTGTTCTGGCTGCTGGCATACGTGTCCAAAACGAACATTTGGCGACGTAGATAATTCCAGAAGCTGCTCCAGCTGCACACAGCGTCCAGCCTGGCACATGAAGAAGTGGTCAGGATCTACCATATGATATTGCAATATCATGGCATGCCACAAGCATCTTTGGAACTAATGCCCAGCAGCCATGGCACTCGAAATGGCAATATGCTGTTTCAGACCGTTAGTACAATTGGCGGACCTTCAGTACCTAAAGTCAACAATCATGCATCAGTGTCGCCTCGCATCAGTTGTTCGCAGTGTCCACAAGAGCTGAGAGCTGGCCTTCTGGAAGAAACATGGACTTTTCTTTCCAGCCCTACTGCCACCAGTGGAGGGGCAGGGGAGACATAGCACCCGTCCAGAAAATGTGGGTGCCTTAATGCACATCAAAGTAGCGTGCAAAGTACCGGTGTGTTGAGTGTACTCCAGTGTTCTTTTGCATCATTCAGCCTTGGTGCCCAGTACTTTAGTCTTGTTCACACGATGCCTGAGGTGCTGTTCCTTGCAAGCATCGATTGGCACCTCTATCAGGTGTATTGATGCCGTTACTCATCTGCACTGCGTGCAAACTTGTCGTGCTCTGCAAGCCTTATACAGCTCCCTGGTTCTGCGTGCATAAAATATGACTGAACAAGATCAGCGATGCTCATCTGTCATAACCGAATCCTGGTGCTTGGGTACCTTGCGAGATGGCCCGCGCGATCTTCCTCCATTGCTCCTGGGTTCGAGAGCACAGCGCATATATGTAGCTATTGCAACTTCCAAAGCAATTTCGAGCACCACCGGAAAGTCCCAACAGTGAGCTTCATGATGCATCACAGTGTTAAGCCAATCTCAACAAATGCCCAGCTGCTGGGCTGCCAATTTTCGGCATCTGACTGACTGAACACATCTCCCAAAGATTTCAACACCACCTAAACAAAATACGGGAAGCAAAATGCAACGCCATTGTTCGCTTCAATAGTGATGTTTGCCTCCCATTAACTTACTGTGAGGTACCGAAGGAGCTGCTGACACATGCCAAACTGCCACAACAAGAGCAACAATGTGGTGTCCAAGGGAGGAAGAGAGCACAGACAAATTTGCACAGGCCGACATGCCCATCCATCCCTTTTATGCTTGTCGCTCACTTCGCTCATGGACAAACTTTGAATAGCCCGTTGTAGCAGGGATTGGGTGGCTCTATTTACAGTCTGAAACATATGCGGCAATGACAGGTGTGGGAGGGTTCCGTCATAAACAGACAAGAATGAGACAATGGCTTTTTCGATGTGTTGAGACCTTGATGTTGTCAAAGAGAAGGTGAAAGCAAGATGCAAGTATCACCTCTGCGGGAAGACAGCCGTCAATGGCGCAGCGATGCGCAAGTTGTGCTCGGAGCATTTTGCTGCCACGATCAGGTCGTCTGAATACCCGCCATCTGTCCAGGCCTCCAGGATGCCATAGGCATCTGTGTCCAGCGCCTCACGACGGATCATCATGCACCCTCCCCATACAAACTTGGTCTCTTGACAGACGGAGAAGGCAATGAGCAAGGGCATGTGGAAGGCCATAATACAGTACACAGGCAACCCTGAGTCGACCGGGGGAATGTCAAATGGGAAACCTGGCAACAGGCAGCCACACAGTAGATTCAGGTTTCAGCTCCCACAAGCCAAGGCCATTCATGGATACAATCAAGTTGTTTAAGCAGAGACCAATGCACTCAATCCACGTGTACATCGTCCACAGATAGCCACAACACTGATGCAGAGAAGTGTAGATAGGACAAGTTCAATGAGTCATGCCAGCACAAAGGTTCGATCAAAATGAACATATGAGACACCTTCCAACAAACTCATTCAGCTTCAACAGATACCTCCCCACTCATCTGTTGCCAGATCGTCCAAGTCGGTAACAGGTTCAAACATCAGATGTGCAGAGGGTGCCCACCAGTCGCCATGAATTTTGATGAATCCAACTCAAGCACCTCCGCAAGCAACTGGATTGACCTTGGGTGCAGCTGCACGTCGTCGTCCAAGAACAGCACATACTTTGAATCCCTTGCTGACCTGCAGAGTCCATAGTGCTGACTGCACAAAGCCCGAGCAAGGAGGTCAAAGCACAGCAATAGGGCATGGGCTATGGACTCATGCCCGACATCGACTGGTGCAAGAGCTCTGTTGTGTCACGTGCACACAGATGCATTCAAGGGACTTGTACGCTGGTAAAAAGGGCTAAGTGCATCGCAGGCCCACAACAGCGTGACAAGCTATCAACTGAAGAGCTCAGTCCTGCTGAGCTGAATTTTGGATATGTTATCTAAAAGTCATAAAACACAGTTCCTGCAACTCGCAGGCGATCATGACCGTGCCCACCCACAACACTTGTTCTAAGTGAACATGGTTCTCACTGCAAGTGACCAAACGAAACACGCAACAAAAATGAAGTAGTGAGAAAGTGGCTCAATCCCTCTGAGCTAGCACGACATTGAGCACCACTATCAGCTGGCCAACTCACTTGTGTATCTTTTGACTGCAAGTCGTTGCAGGCCCAGAAATCTCCACGCTCGCATTTACATCTGGGTGGTCTCTGAACAGTTGCTTCAACTCAGGAACTGCCGAATCCTTTGCGGAGTCAACGACAAAGATGAACTCCAACGGACCCTTGTACTCTGCCCGAAGATGAGATGTCCAATTGCTACAACTGTGACTGTGCACGCCTCGCACGGGCAAGATCACAGAAACAGCTGGAAGGTCGAAAGCCTAAGACCGACAGAAGAGACAAAAGCCCAGAATTGAGCATACAACAAAAAGTACAATAACTAATTACTATATATATTATACTAATTACTATACATAAATACTATATATACAAACAACAATGATTAAACTAACAACGCCAGAACTGGCAAAGCTGCAGGATTGATTTGAAGGCAAAATGGACTCGAAACTCCAAATTTGTTCCACTGGAACATTTCAATGAGCAACAATTCGACCAGGCCATGATATGGACACGTCTGTTGACAGCCACCACCACTTGATGTGAAGGACAGGTCAGCTGGTAAGAACAAACACCCCTTGCCAAGCAATCACACGCCAAGTGTTGACAACACACAAACATGGAATGGAAGATGGGGTGTGAGAGCACAACAATGAGTGCTGCAAGCTAATTCCACAATCGCCCTCCATGATAGGGCAGGCACATGTATCCTTTTGCAAAACACAGGAGCAGCTCACCAACTCTGAATGACATTGTTTTCCCAACAGTGTGAGTGCAGCCGCAACAGCACAGCTTGCAGCCTTTTGCTCCTGTCAATCCATCTGCAATCCGAGTTCCCTTCCAGCAAGATGCAGACGCCCCTCGGCTGTAGGTCACTGATCCCAACAGGCCATCACCTGCGCAGGGCGCGGGCGCCCATAGATCCTCTCCTCCCTGAGCCTCTTCGCTTCCCCTGACCTCTTCTGTGTAGCTAAAATCCAGCCGGCACCCAGGCCGCCCAAAGCCAGTGCGCCTGCGACCTGGATGGCACTTCCATTTGTGACACGTCTGTGTGTTCCCCGAGATTTTTTGAGCCATGGTAAAAATGCCAGGTGGGCAGCCCCCATCCTGGCAGAGACTACCTCGATCCCTTGTTTGCTTAGAAGAGCTATGAGATCCTCCAAAAGCAAGCGCGAAGCCAAAACAGGCAACATGGACTGCAGCGGCAAACTCTGGGGGCAAGACTGGGGAAAAAGTTCACCAATGTTTGTTCACAGAAGCTTCTTTGCAATACCATAGTGCTGTACCATGTTGTCAATCGACAACGAAAATAAGAGAGAAAGGAAACAAAGCAAATAGTGGACTGACATATAGGAAATAAAGGGAACACTCCTCTCAACAAGCTGTGTGTGTCAAATACTTTCAATGCATACTTGTAGCACATGGGGCCCAGGGGCAACGAATCGATAGCGGCAACTGGTAATGGCTTCTCAGCAACCCAAACAGCGTTTGTACAGGCCCAGCAAGCCAGGGGTCAACATGATGAAAGGGGTGAGTTCCCCTTTTCAAGCCAACGAGGGGAGCCCTCCGTAAATGAAGCAACACTCACAGGCATCGCCTGGAAACCCTGGATCGCAGAAGCACCTCATCATGTGTGAAGGCCCAGAACTGACATGTGTGAGTTGCTTTGCACAAGTACACGCAGGTGCTCCACTAGGCAGCATTTAATTTCTCCATTCTGTTTCACTACCTCTCCAGGGTGTCCACAGCATGGAATCCAACGCCCTGACTTGGATTAATACTGTCCACCATGGTTAAGCGGCCCGGAATTTAGTGGTGATGGTGGTGGCAATGTTGGTGGGACGGCGGGGGGGAGGGATGCCCTTTCCCCACATACTCCCTTATGGCCTGTGGGTTTGTGTGAATTGCGAATTCCCTAGACAGCGCAGCGAATCTGACGCCGCGATTGATTGACAGTTCTTGGGCCTCGCCGTCGGCAAAATTCAGAATGGTGAGCTTCCGAAGCGCCTGCTGCGCCATGGACAAGGGGAAGACAAAAAAAGGCATGGGCAGGACATTGGGACCCGTGTGGGCACCAGTGGAGCCCCAAGCCCTCCCATTGCAAGCAGGGGGGATAGGGCAACAAGTGGAACAACACGAAAGCGCCGATGACCCACACGCCAAGTTCTATGGAGCTGGTGGACCCGGCCCCAGCACAGGGCCCTCGCTGCAGGGAATCCTGCTGGACGCATTGCGCCCCTGTCATGGCCCCAGCTCCTCCCCGTGCCCCTCCCCACCACAGCACGCCCACGGCGGTGCTTCGCGGCCGAAATGGCGCACCAGTGCCCCGCGTCCCTATCCTTGCTTTCCGAGCGAAATCGGGGGCGCCGGCAACTCAGCGGGCGCATTTGCGCCTCACCTGCAGGACCGCCACCAGCGGGTGACACAGGGCCGCTCCGGTCCAGTCTAACAGCGTCCACAGGCAGGCAGCCAGCCTCTGGAGGGCTGCCGTGCCCGCCATGGCGCTGGGCAGTCGTGGGGTTGCATGGCTTTATGAATGACACGCCCTTCCCATCAACAAATTTTGCAGTGTTGGGAAAGGCGACACGCGCTCCTCCGTTTGTGCCCTTGCCTGGTTGCACCGGTCATGCGATTAACAAGTGGTCGCTGAGGTACTGATTTGGGAGACGTGGGGGAGCGTTAGGGATGCGCCGGGCGCTCTGGGTGGTAAGTAGTAAAAGCAGCCAGATTTGTTTCGGGACAACATTCTTCTGTGCTGTTTGGACCCGTTTTTCCAGGGTGCATGTGTCGTGCATCCCAGCATTGACCTGTCTCATTGCCATCTTGCTCCTCTGTTTGCAGTGAAGCGATATCGATGCAGACGAGGGGCTGAGGTGGCTCCAACGGTTTTCCACATAGTATGCTCAACAACGGGATTCGTTTGTGAGCTCAACAGCACCGGTTATATTCCAATGTCCGATTCTGGTGAGCGGAAGCGCTTGTCGCCCCAGTCGACCTCCAATAAGATTTCGCCATTTTTCGAGCAGATGGGATGTGAATGGTGACGATGTCCTTTGCCCGATGACCCTGACGGCCCTGATGTCCTGGACGCACTGTCCTTTGAAAGAATTGCTGAAGCGCAGGCTGCACACTTGAGCAGCCTAGCGAAGCTGAGGCCCCAGAACCTGAATTCTTGCAGGTTCTTTACGGACGTTGGATGCTTGTAAGCATTGACTCTATTGACAAACTTGGATTTATCTTGCACGTGTGTCAGCTATTCCATTTTCAAGGAATTGGCGACTTTGATGTTTGTGACGAAACTGAATCTGCAAGGTTGCAACTGAAATATAGAGAGGGCTGTGGAAAAGCTTGAAGTTGTTTAAGCTGTAATACGGGCGTTGCGGTCTTGAAATTGAGCTGCTGTCACAACTTCACAAGTGTTGCCATAATTTCCTTGACGTCTCTACGATTCTAGGACACCATTTCGAGGCAAGGATGCAGGTGCGACACCATTTACGCCCACCATTTTTCTCAAAAATTCACGTCACCACCAGACTGGTGGTCCCACTGAGTGGGATATTGAACACTGCCGCAGAGAACGGAGGAATAAAGCGGATACTATAGATAGAGCAGGGGCAACACTAGATGATGTGAGGCACGGCCAATCTAATGCAATGCAAGTTTGCGACATGGACAGCCATTACAATGGTAGTTCACATGCGGTGGTATTAAGCAGCGCAACTCACATAAAGTACACTCTCGTATTATGGTTACAGCATCAACCATAACACCACACCCATAATCTAATATGCACCCATGTCGAGCATAGCATCATCAGTTTAGGATAGCCTACAGCCGTTTGGCAATTGGCTCCCGTAGACTTCAAACATGCTTGTCACACCCAGCCACATTACAACAAGCCAATTCTGAGAGTATAGTCTTCACGCAGTTCACGCTCATCAGTTAATCCAAAATCCAGCGTTCCATATCTTTTGCCATATTTTCTATGCCATTTGAATCAAAGATCGCGCCGCTTGCATCCAAATCCAAGCCCACCAACCGATCAGGAAGAGAACCAACTTCCAATGGGATGCACAGCGCAAGGTGCATAAAGTGGTGTGCGGCGGCGCCACCATGTGGTTGGGAGTGTGAGTGGTGCCCTTGAGTTTCTTGGAGTGTGTGTGTGTGTGCCTCAAGTTATGCGCAGCGCGGGGGCAATGCTGGATAATGCGGGGGTACTCTAGATAAACGCCCCCCGCGTTAAGGATACTAACAGAAATGCCCAACTCGGGGATCCGTTATCCACCGTTCTCCACGGTCCTATTCAAGAACAAAGAAATTGTCAAAAAATCTAGGGCTTCGGGGGAAGCTGCTCGAGGCAGCGCTGCTGCTGCAACCAAAACTGACAGAGTGTTAGCAACAGCTGGACGCATTAGGAGATGATGAGACAATGTGGACTAAATTAGGGACACTGATGAACGGACCGGATACAGCGGGGGTACCTGCATAGCGCCCACCCGTGACATTGCCAAAAGCAGGGCGCTGCTGGGGCTGGGCGCCAAAAAGTTAGACTCACTTTAATGGTCATAATGACGATTAAATACATCAGATGGCGCTCCACATCACTCTTACACAGTTGAAGACCCACTGGTCATGAATTGTGATGGCTCAATTCCCATTCAAACAGCTCGTATCATGAGTCATGATACGAGCTGTCTAAATGGCAATTGAGCCATCACACTTGCGCATCGTCTCCCACAAAGGTACAGTGTTGGAGCACCGTTTCTGAGGCTCACTTTGGAGCGGCACATTCAATTTCTGTTGCAACTGCAAATGATTTTCAAATGATTCTCAAATTGCAAGGAAGTAAGCGCACCAATCTCATGAAAATCTCCAGTACGGTGTCTGTCGCTATCCTGCACATTGACTTGCACATTGATTTGAACTGTAATGCCTGCAACATGAATGCGGAACGTAATCTGCCGGACAGTGCATCAACAAGGCGGCCTTATGATTGCGTGGCGACGCTTGGTGAGGGCGTCAAGTGGCAATGTGGCAGCGTGGTAGTAGCGCTGAAGTGATAATACCTCACTGTATTACTGATCATGTCACTACCGGGTTCTAGTTTTATCACAAGAAAATGTTTGCGTGCCGTCTCAGAATCCCAAAGTATGTAACGAAGTTCGCTGCCTGTCACCAACTTGAAATGTCATTGTAAAGTGTGCATGCGCATTGCATGGTGGGAATTTTGTGTGGCACCACCGCCGACCTGATCGTTACCATAGATACCTCGAACAACGTTTAGATCTGTTTCATAACTCTCTACAACGAATGAACGTTGCAGGTCTACCAGAAACCTCTTTTCGGTACTTTCAAATGTTCAATATGCTGTTTTGAGGTGCCATTTCACAGAAGAGCTACATAATGTACTGCAGATATCGTTCCAAGCCAACATACGGGGCGCTGTTGGGGGGCCAGGCGCTATTGAGGGGACGTTGTTCAGGTACCTCCACTGCATAAGGGACAGAGTTCCTGTTGTCCCTTTGCTCCGCTATAAGCCGTCGCCGTGTACTTGAGCCTACGTCAGGGGTCCCAGTCAGGGGGCGCCACCCCTCGACCCTGCGAGACTGTGTTAGTCTATCTTTTCCGTGAGGATCCCTTCTTCCGCTGACAAGGCCAACGTGGATCAGTGGGTCAGTAGGACAGTGGTTTATGGTTCAGAGGACTTGACGGAAAAGACAGAGCGACTAATTTCATTCCCGACCCAGCCTGCCTGCATCAGTGTGCTTGCACTTGCACTTCATCTGGACGCCGCGATGTCGGAGACGCCTAAGGGCAAAAGGCATGGAGCTGCGGGCCGTCGACGCCGTGGACACGGTCGCGTGGCAAACGAGCTGTCGCCACCGACGACAACGGGCGGATTGTCGATGCTGAGTGGAGATCGGATAGGCGGACTGGAGGGGTTTGCCCTGTGTTGCTTCGAGCGCCGCGGCCGTCTCGCTTGTGGAGCGTCCAGCCTCCAGGTATTGCATGCATGGCACAAATGGCATGAAATTAGTCGCTCAGTTTTTTCCGTGAAGGTCCCTTCTTGTTTCGACACCTCAAACCCTAAACCACTGACTCACTGACCCACGTTGGCCTTGCGAGCTGAAGAAGAAGGGATCCCCACGGAAAGGACAGGAGACTAATGTATTCTCGGCAGAAACGCGTTCACGCCCACTTTGAGGGGGACCCCGTTGGGGGCCGCGGGTTGATTTCCAGACGGATGGCATCCGCGGTGGCAGACACGATCACGCGTGGTTGGTCAGCGGCGCAGCTGCGCCCGCTGCATTAGACGGTCTGCAGGCCAGCCGGGACCTTCCTCTGCAAATTTTGCCACGCTTTGCCTCCGTTGTGTTGCCAATGGTCTCTCTGGATTCTGCGGCAATGGACATCCAATGCACTGTGGAGCCCCCTTTCGACGGCAACAGGTGCAAGCCTTTGGGCTTTGCAGTCCGGCAGTTGTACATAAAATTTGTGAGCACTGGCTGGGGATCTGATACTGGATGTGTCTGGACAGCAGTCAAGGCAATGCTCCGAAGCTTTCCAAAATTGTTTGGCACGCATGCTGAGCTGGTCTGTCAAGGCAATGTGTCCGAGAAAGAGAAAGAAGACTCCAGCGATGATCAGGTGTGGAGGGTTTGGTTTCTCTTTGTGACTTGTTGCAACAAACGTGAATGTAACCCAGTGTGCATGTTTGTTGTTGTCACCCAATTCACAAGGATTTTCAACACAGTGAAAGTGCCTTGCCTCCATCCTGTGCCTGGACTCCAGCTTGCAGGTGTGCTCAGTGTTTGTGCCCAATTTGGGCCTGCATGCAAAGCTGTGTGTTCTATTTGGGTAACAGTTCTTGCACGTGGCAATGCAAAGCCCTTGCAATAGATTGGCGATCGCAGGTGCATAATTCCAGCAACAATGTTGTTATTGTTCCAGCCAGTTGGTTGTTGCCTGGTCAGCAGCAATATGGACTCAAGTTGTAGGTTGTCTGGAAGTTGGCACACTACAATTTTGGTCCATCATCAGCAGTTTCCAATTTGTCTGCTACGATTAAGCGCAAGCCATGCTGTTGCATTTTCCTGGAATTGGAACATGCCACGACAGCAAAGAACCCTCTAAGGTTGAGGAATGCTACATGCAGACACGGCTTTTCTGTACCGGCTACATTTTCTTGTACACATCCTCTTCTGAACATTCATGACAGTGCCCTTGGCCATTGAGAAAATTTTGGTCAGTGCTAGCCAAAGTTCAAAACTGCAGGCAGAACTGTGCCTATGTTGTACATGCCTGGAAGACGCGGTGTGCACAAACGCTGCCGATTTTCATCCTGACACGTTGAATGGTTTCATTTCAGTTTGGTTACCGATATCACCAACTCCTTGCCAATGCAAAACTATTCGCACTGCCACAACAGATTGCAGGTTCAACCAGATGATGCCTCTTTGTGGTTGTCGTCAAGGCATGACGATCAGGCAGAGGGTGCAATGCCGCTGCTCGAAGCAACAAGTTGTTGCTTCAAGCAGCAGCATTGCACCCTCTGCTTGATAATCCACATTTTCTGTGCCAAGATTGATGAATGTAGGGTACTGTGCCTGTTTTGCCTGCAAGAGTGCTGTGGGTCAACACTGCAGATGGTTTGTAAATCAATGGTTAGATCGAAAATGGCTGCCAGTGCTGCCACCTGCTGGCCAACACAACAATCACTTAGGCTTCCAGTGCAACGTTCGTGTTTGAACCAGAGATGTCTCCCCTGCTCCGAGCAGGCTGCTCGTTCTCTTGTGAATTTTTTGTACTTTCCAGGCGATGCATGTCTAATGGAGGTCTTGGAGGTCTGTCCTGCTCCCTGCTTCAAGGCGCTGCCTGCTTGTGGGCAATATTGCTGTATTGTTTTCCTAATCTCCATCCCCCAAGGCATCAGCATGCATCTGCCCTCATATCTGGCATGGCGCTGATACGCCACTGCAACACTTCCATGTTGATACTCTGTAGCTCCTGCATATTTGATTGAAAAATGTCAGCCGTCCCCATGCCATGCGTGCTCGCTGGCTTTTGGACACGACATAGTGCCCAGCAGCCTTGTTGAACGAAATTCACGTTTTCTCCTGATTTCCTCTGTGGCCAGCTACGATGCTTGGGCATAGTGGGTTGGGACGAGTAAATCGTAAACAGCCTTGGACATGACACTTGTGGGACTCACAGTGTAGAAAACATTTTCTTCCTCTCCCCAAAACTAATTGTCCTCCATTTGAAAATAGTTCTGTTGCGAAAGGGGCTCTCATCTACAAACGTTTTTTAGCATCTAAAAAGTTATATCCCCGAAACACCTGACAGCCAGTTGTTAAGAAAGAAGTCGGCCCGAACCGCTCCTGATGGGCCCGCCAAAACACCCGACAGCCAGTTCTTAAGAAAGAAGTCGGCCTGAACCTCTCTCCAGATGGGCCCCAAAGCTGTTCGCGCTTTTGACAAAGTTACATTCACATGACACGTTCACTAGAAATGCCCACTGGTCTGGGATGCTCCTGCCCTTACGTTTGGCACAGCAAAATCGTTGTCACCAGCGTGGATACTTCTCTGTGGGCGGCTCTGTTTTGCCACCGCAAAGGCGTATTGTCCTCGCCGTCATGAAACGGTCATCTTCAAAGCGATGTTGAACTTTCAAGGTTGGCTGAGGACGATTACTTCATAGTGGTGCGACATGAACAGTGCTTAAGGTGTTGAGTTCAATTTTTCAGTACGTTCTTCAGACTCGTGATGACGGCTTTGGATGAAAGTGCACAGAAAGCCGAAATTGTATGGTATAGAAAGAATATGCCAAATTCACAGAGCGCGAACAATTTGGGACAGAGGAAGTAAAAACCAACAGAAGAGGATGTAACCCCCCGTCACTGCATCTGAAATGGAATAGCAGCGTTTCGCCATGTGGCCATAACACTTCGCAACCGTTGCAACCGCTGCAATCGTTGTTGCTTTCACTGTTACACACTTTCCTGTTGCCGCCATAACCATTGTAACATTTTGTCACCGTCATTTTTAAAGTGTGGAAAACTTCTGTACTTTGTTTGGACCTGTTATTGCTAGCCGGTGTTGAAATGCATGTCGATTCACTGCAAAGCACCTGCAGGAACACTACTCAACTGTGAACAAACGTATGAATGGACTGTGGAATGATACTGCAGCTGCCACTGACAGGATGATGGCGCGGTGTCAGGCTGGGCCCACTTGTCTCATGACTTGTTGGATAGAGTGAAGGCGCAGATGGCAGAACATGAGGAAGCTGTCTTTCTTCGACGTGGCCGCCTTGTCAGTCGCTACTGGTGCCAGTGGTCGACACGAGCCACAACACATCTCATGATTTCGAACAAAGGCAAGAGACAAGGTTTGGAGGCGATGCTGAATGGCGCACTCAGGTGCTTCACTGCCGCAGAGCGTGTTGTGCTGAAGACCGCAGGATATGTCGATGACTTGTCGCCACTGCAACGGGCACCTCTTCTGAGGCATCTGAAGGTTGACGCTCGCCTCACTGGCGACAGCGTAATGCATTTGGGGCTGCTTACAAGCCTTGTGGATCTTGATCTGATAGGTGACCCGTCTTTCCGTGATCCATGCACATGTCGATTGTTCCATCTTTCCGACAATGCAGCGGAGGCGTTGGCCGCCTTGACACAACTCGAAAGAATTGCTTTGGCAAACCGCAATGGAGACCGGTGTGCAGCAATCTTCACAAGGCTCCCTGCCCTCACCGATGTCAGGCTGAATGCCCCTGTGTCATGCGTGGGCATCGGGCGCTTGGCGACCATGCCGAATCTGGTAAGGTGTGCACTGGGGCATGCAGAACAACGTGTGTCAGTCAAAGAGGCTGAGATGTTGGCTGCGATGACCAAGTTGGTGGCTCTGGGCATCAAAGGTCGTGATGATACACGCGGCGTTGGCGTTGTCCACCTCGGCACTCTGACCAACCTCACTGAATTGAACCTTGCCTGTTTCCGCTCATCAGACTCATGGCTGCCAGCAATCACCTGTCTCACTGCCATCTCACGCCTCTGCTTGCAGCGGGCCCATACGCATACAGACGCGAGCTGGAGGTCGCTCCAACAGTTTCCTGCATTGTCTGCTCTGGGGATTTATTTTGCTCACAAGTACGATGGGATCATCGATGCTGGGTGTAGGTGGATAGGACTGCTGACTGGCCTGGTGGACCTTCAACTAAGCTTTCCCGGTTTCGCTGTTGACCCGCTGGACGAATGGTCAGTTGCTGGTGGTGCTGTCACTTACCTGACGAACCTGACAGCGCTGACAGCTCTGAACATTGCTGGCCATAACGCAATGAACAGCGTTGAGGTTGCACATTTGAGCAGCCTGGTGATGCTCAAGGTGCTGAAACTTAAGTGCTGCCAGCCCATTACCAAGTTTGGCTTCTTGTCAGGGTTGACGCGCCTGACAGACTTGGCTTTGATTGGCATGCCTATTGCAGGCTCCAGTTTCAAGAAGTTGACGCCTTTGACGTCTTTGACGCAACTGAACCTGAGGGGTTGCTACACAGTTACGGACCGAGCCTTGACATGGATTGCAAAGCTAACAGCCCTTGCGGTCTTGAATTTGAGTCGGTGCTCCATTACAAATGTTGGGGTGATACGCTTGAGTCGCTTGCGGTTTCTCAGACGCCTTGAAGTGGAAGGATGCGACCAGGTGACTCTACGTGTCGCGGACTTTCTGCGAAAATGGGATTAGCACGCATTGGCCAGGCTTGCTGGACAGAGTGCCAACTGCTGGCGTCATATTTGTCTCAGAGACGTCATTCTTCTCGTGTCGCGGACGAGGGCATTTCATCGCAGTGAAATGGGTCGTATCCTCGAGCTGAAGCGTTAAGGAAGTTGATCGTTGACTGTGCGGTTTATGCACCGTGTCGTTATCGTGCTTGCCTGCAAGGGTCCAGCAACCCAGGACAGAATATTGTTTTGCCCCCATCGCTGGTGGGAGACTTCTCAAGGGCATGCACTTTGCCTTGCGGCGCTGCCTAACAAAGCAATGAACTGACCTCCCCAAAGCGTGCATCGCTCATCCCGCCTCCATCTCACCATCATCGTCAAGCAGCAATCAGCACCCGATGTGCCGGCCTGGAGCCGAGCGAGCCCCCCCGATGAAATTAAACGGACAAGCAAAAACAACGAAATGAATGAATTGGCCGCCAACAGCAGCCCCGCAGCCCCTACAAGTCCCCGGTCTGCGTTCCCGCCCGGCGGCCGGCGCCTTGGCGCACCACCCACTGCGACAGGCGCCGCAGCCTCTCCTCCCCCACCCCCAGGCCCCTCAGCCCCGCCACTAGCTGCGCCGCCTCCTCCCCGCCGAACCGGCCAGCCCTCCGCGGCCGCCCGGCCTCCGACACCACGGCGGACACCAGGCGGTCGCGCCGCATCCCCAGGGCGGCCATCGCCCCCGCTAGGCGCGCCAGCCGTCGGCTGCCGCAGCGCTCCAGCCCCCCCGAGCGGCAGATCGCGCTGAGCGCCGCCTCCGCCCTCTCCCCCGCCAGGAGCCCCCCTTCCGCCGCCGCCACAAACAGGGCCGCAGGGTCCGGGGAGTTGATCCCCGCGCCGATCGCGACGTCCGCGATGTCCTCCGCGACGCTCTTGACCCTCCCGGGGATCGCACCCGCCGCCTGGGCGGCGCCCAGGGCGCCCAGGATGGGCAGGAGCGCGCTTTGGGGCAGGTCCCTGGGGCCCCGCACCCTGTCCCAGACCTCCCTGACCAGCGCGGCGATCAGGGCGTCCCGGCGGGTGGGGTCGGGGCCCAGGAGGTGCACCCTGCCCAGCACGCTCGCCAGCTGGCGCCAGGAAAGGTCCGCGGCGCGCCCGGGGACGGCCAGCTCGGCAGTCACGCCCACTGCGAGCCGATCCCCCATGGGCGCCAGTTCGGCCAATGCGTATGCCAGACTGGCCAGGAGGGGTCCCGGCAGCCTGGGCAGACGGCGCGGATCGGCAACGGAATCCAAGAACCGACCGGCGCTGGGCCCGCGGTACCCCAGGCGGCCCAGGGCCCTCGCCGCCGTGGCCAGCCTGCCGTCCCCGAACACCCTCGCCCGGTCTCTCTTGAAGATCTCGTCGACGATGGCGTCCAGCAGAGATGGGTCGCGGTGCAGAAATCGACCCAGGGACCAGAGCACGCTGGCGAGGCGGGCGTCCGTCATGGCCGCCGCCACGCCGGGGCCGGCCAGCCGGGCGGATGCGGCCGCCAGCAGGCCGGCGTGCGCGTAGCCCAGGCGCGCGAAGGAGTGGAGGCTGGAGGCCAGCCAGCCGTGGTCCCGCGGGTCCGCCCCATCCGGGGAGGAGGCAGCGTCCGCCAGCGCGCCCAGCACGGGTGGGTCGGCCAGGCCGCCCAGGGCGGCGCCCAGGGCCAGGCGCGAGACGTCGCGAGGCGACATGCGGGCCAGACGCCCGGGGATGAGCGCCTGTCGGGCCACCCGCGCCAGGGCGGCGTCGCGCCCTCGCGTGGGGATCGATCTGCCGATGGCCTCGGCCGCCATGGCGACGTATCGACCGGGCATGCTGTCCAGCACGCCGTCCCGCAGGACGCAGGAGACCAGCGCGTTGAACGCGCGATGGGTGTCGAGGCCCTGGGATACTTCGGCAGGTAGTCTGGACAGCCCGTACAGCATCGACGCGAGCTCCTTGCCGTTCATTGCGTAGCACCGCACGGGGGAGGACCCCTCGGCCAGCAGGGCGACCAGGGCCGCCCAAGGGCCCGCTGCTTGGTCCAAACCGCCGCCGGACTCCGCGCGAGAGATCATGGTCAGCAATCCGAGGACTTGTTTCGCCAGCTCGCCGTTGGACAGGCCGGAAACCCGCTCGGGGCGCGACAGCTCCCCAGACAGCCTGGCGAGGGCCCCAGGGTCCGAAATCTTCAACCCGGCGATCGCCCCGACAATCCCGCACAGCCCCGCCCCGGTGCAGCCTGCCAACCGCTCCATACGCGTGGCCTCCCCCAGCACCTTCGCCGCCGCGCCGGCGTTCGCACCCGGCTCCGACCCCATCAGCCGCAGCAGGTTGGCCAGCCCGAAGTCCGAGCACCGCCGCAGGCGCGCCTCCCTGCCCGCCTCCTCGCCCAGCCGGCGCCACAGCTGCCGGTCCGCCACCCGGTGGCCCCTCAGGCCGCGGATCAGCAACGCCATGTCCACCTCCGTCAAGTCATCAAGCCCCCCCGCCTCGACGCACTCCCTCAGCCTCCCAAGCACCGTGCCCAGCTCCGGCCCCCCGCCGGGCGCCCACCGGCTCAGCCCGTACATCACGGAGCACAAGTCCCGCAGCCCGCAGGCGGCCACCCTCTCCGGGCGCACCATCTCCGACACTATGGCCAGCATCCGGTCTTCCAGCCCCGCCGTCTGCGCCGTCCCCAGGCACGAGATCCCCGCGACGATCTGGCATGCCCCCAGCTGCCGCATCCCAGCCAGCCTCGCCGGCTTGGTCGCCTCGGACAGCATCGCGTCCAGGAAGCGCGGCTCGTCGTAGCGCAGCCTGCCCGCGGCGCCGATCGTTACCGACAGGCCCTGCTCGGTGAGGGAGGCGGCCCGCGCGGGCTTGGCCGCCTCGCGCCCCAGGGGCGCGAGGTACACCGGGTCCCTTAGGCCCAGGTTAGCCAGCCCGTGCCAGACGGAGGACAGGTCCCAGGCGGAGAGGTGGGCCAGGCGCTCCGGGCGCACCACCTCGCTCAGGACCTTCGCCGAGGTCTTGGGGTCATCCCAGCCCAGCTGGCCCAGCGCGTAGACCAGGGGGGACAGCCCCTCGAGCGGCATGGCCTCCAGGCTCTTGCGCACGGCGACCCGCTCCACCAGCGGCCGCAGCAGGTGGCCGTCCGCCAGGCCCAGCCTGGACATGCTGTAGATGATGATGGACAAGCTGTTGGGGCGGAAGGCGTCCAGCCTCCCGCTCCCGATCAGCGACTCCAGCAGCGGCCGAGCGAGGCCGTTCGATGCCAGTGGGCCGATCTGCCCGAGGCTGTGCAGCAGGACACAGAGCTCTCCCTCTTTGAAGCAGGGCAGGGTGCGTGGCAGGCCGGCCAGCCTCCAGAGCCACTCCACAAACTGCAGCTGACCGTCGAACAGCAGCCCCGGTTGAGGTTTCAGAGCGCCAGCGTCAGCAGTCGGCATGCTGCCGCCATCTGCACACTGCCACTGGTCCGCCTTGCTGTCGCCCCTGGCCCCTGTCTTGTGAAGGATGGCCATCGAGCGCATCATGCTAACCATGGCTGGGCGATCTACCTTTCTTGACCTCATTTGCACCCTACTGGCAAGAACCTCGAGCAGGCTATTGTTGACATACCCCATTCTGGCACAAGAATCCAGAATCGAAACAACATTTCTGATTTTGCACCTTTGCATAGGCGATTTCTTCACCACAAGTCCCGTCAGATAGCCCAGGATGCCGGCCGGGACGGCGTGCCGCGACTTTTGTGCCAGCCTGAAAGCTGCAGCGATGATGGAAAAGTCGATGCTGCTGCCACACTGGTCAATCTGTTGCTGAATACCATCCCATGCCATGGAAAGTGCACAAATCTCAGCCCTGGACTTCTTTGGCAGACGGATCGCTGTGCTGGTCTTGGACGCACCAGCTACAACGCCACACAACACTTCGAAGTGCTCTGTGGCGGCAGTCTGAGTGTGCAAGCGATGGCAATGACTGACAGCATCAGCGAATTCTGCAGATTCAATGCATGCACCTGGGTACCGGCAGCAACCTCTGGCCCAGCATTTGTTTTCAATCGCAGCAGCCCCTGCCATGACCCAGGTTGGCCCAACAGCGTAATAAGGTCTCCCAATTGCCCAGTGGGTTAATGCAGGCTTGTGTGGTGACCTGATGGTACCATCACTGCTGCGAGCTCCGGCGCGGCAAGGCAGTGTTGCCATGAGAAACGCAAGTAGCACCTGCCAGAACATTCAGATAGCTTTCAAACCCATGGCATTCAATGTACTGACAGCAAATACTTCAGTACTGGGGCAAACCATGATGCCTTGCACTGGAATTCTGCCGCATAGATGGAGCACACATCACACAAGCCCTATAAAGAGCACATTTTGTGGACAACACACTGTCTAGGAGCCTCCAAATCCAACAAAAGGGGAAGGTAAAGTGTACTTTTCAGCCATGAATGTCTTGTGGGTGTGAAGGTAATGCCTAGCTCTTTGGTGGCAAAAGATATTAAAATGGTCCTATCAACCCAGGACACATTTGCAGGGTGTGGACAACCCGCTGTTGACTGCAAAACAATTCCATATCATTTGTCTGCAATTGCAACCATGGGAACGAAGGGCACACCTTGTCTGGCATCTCGCCTGCTGCCCTCCCCCATACAGATGTGTGGAATGCCGCAATGGACGCCTTTGACCTCAAAATCAGGGCCATGTTGCTCAGGAAGGCTCCAAATCCGCAGGGATCACATTTGTCCAAGTGCTTGCACATCTGCATACACATGCACGAAATGAATAGATCAGTTGGGTAAACGCCCTGGTAGCATGAGCATTTTATATGAGACTCTGAACACTGAGTGACTTGTGAAATGCAATTCGTTGTGGTTCCACATTAGCAAAGGCAGAATCTGTGTCTCTCTCGTGTCCTTCTATTGGGGATGCATTCACATTGATGCACAGTGAATGAGCTTCAAGACAACACAGTGCATCCACAAAATAGCTGAGAGCCACATGCTTCAATTTGTGGTTAGGGTCTGGCTGTCACACACCAACCACATGCACAGATGTCCAAAAATGTGTTTTCTCCAACAGCAATGTTGTGATTTTCTTGCCGATTGGATAACAGCATTGAGAACTTCCCAATCTAATACACACCCTGAGATTTCATGGTTGTTGCACTGGAACACCATATTTCGTTGACGTAGCATTCTTTTTGATGGTGGTGCTTGCACAGCTGTAGAACTGGAAAGGAGTCCATGGGAGCCTCGCTAGGAGGGGAAGCTCCAATGTGTGACCAGCTTTCTGGTTCTTCAACACTGCCTCTGAACATGCAGAGATGCATCAGCACCAGCATAGGCCCAAAGCCTGCAGATGCACTGACCGTTTGTGGTATGAATCCCCTTCAAGAATGGCTTGTCGAAATATGGCAAAGCCACATTCATGCATCTGCCAGGGGACATAGTTTTCATGCGATCTTTGAGCAAGTCAGAACACCAGCCTTTGCACAGTTTTCGGGCAAGCAGTTCAAGAGCCCAAAACACGACAGAAACTTCTCAGACATGTCGTTGAAGGATGCCCGGAGCCAACGGATGTGCTGGTTGGCAGACATGGTAGCCATTGTTGACTGCGTTCATTCAACACCCAGTGCTGCATTGTTGCGACTCCCCCCTCACAATGTATCGTATGCCTTGCGGCTCCGAAAGGCAATTCACCTCTCGATGCAACAGGTGACAAGAACTCAACATTGATGCAGCGAAAACAGCAAACATCGAGGGAAAATGGTGGATGAGAACAGGTTCTCATCACCACCCATTCACCACCCATGCTCGCCCTGTTCGCCACTGATTAGGCCAAATGGGCGCAAGGGCAGTGCAACGTCATATTCCGCGAATGCAACAAACGTCAAAGGAAAGAAACAAGGATCTTCGTTGGGCTGCCTTGTGCGCTCGTCGCCGCCCAATTCGGTGCAAGGGCTGTGGCTTTGCACGTGCAGCAAATCTGTCCACAAGCACCAATGCCGATTTCGATGGCAAAACGTGGCGCCCGTCCAAGGATCCCGATTCTCCGCAGCTGGTGCCAACAGAAGTGAACCAACTTTTTCCCTTACGCTCCGAATGGCCAAATGCAAAGTCCAGACACGAAACAAGACATCTAACAAGCCAGTGCACCAGCAATCAATGCGTACAGTTTCAGCACCTGGCGGCATCCAGCTGCGAAGCGACTTTTTCAGCTGCGCCGCGCGGGGGGCACTGCTCGAAGCTGGATCCGCGCGATGCGACTGCACAGCGAGGAGCCCCATCCCGCTACCATCCGCAGCATTTTGCAGCTTTGATTCGCTGCTCGTGGTGCCGAGACCTGCCGACCGCGAGCCGCAGAGGCGGCCGCCGACCCGCTCCCAAGCTTGCCCCGCCGGAGGTGGGAAGGAACACCGGGGGCAGTGTGGAGCCGGGTCTTGGACCCTAAGATGCGCTGTACCAGGCAAGTGTTCCTCCGAAGGGTTCGGGTAAACACACACGTGATTAGTACGGAGACCACTGGCGCAATCCAGAAATAATATTACTGCCTGCACCAAATCGGTGACTGCTTGCACCAAGTCACACGCACACTGTGTCCTAACCTCAGTTTTAGGGTTAGGTTTAGTTTCAGGGTGAGTTTCAGGGTTACGGTTAGGGTTAGGGCAGGTTTAGGTTTTAGGATTTAAGTTTTAGGTTAGGTAAGTTTTGGAGGCAGTTGGTGCAAGCAGTCACCGGCTTAGTGCAGAAAGTCACCGATTTGGTGCAGCCAGTAATTGTATGCCTGCAAAGCAGACCTGCTGGTATTTTTTTTTCGCCACAATAGCTGGACGCCAAAAAAAAGTACCGTTGTTGCGTACAGGCAAACTGTTTAGTTGTTTTGTTTAGTGCCGAACCTAGCGCACACCTGCCTGCAGAGCGTCAAGATAGTTAGTTGCCTGGGTAGAACGGCTTGCCTCAGTGGCAGAGAAACGAGCGCCGTCCAGTCTGGCAAGTGGCAGAACCGCTGCACAGCAGGGTTTCCCGAAATGTTTTGAGCTTGCTCACGCTGCGGATGGACCAACAAGCTGACCCGCGCGTCGCTTTTCCAGTTTGGCAGTGCGTAAAAGAGAACAGCAAACTGTGCGGATAAGGTCCGTCCCCTGGACCGCCACCAAGGATTCGGCGAGACGCTTTGGCACACGCCAGTGTCGCGCGAAGACCAAAGACATTTTCTTGGGACATCATCAAACAGACGCCATTCTTCAAAGAACCATCCATCATGCGCACCAGTACTTTATGCGCCCCAGGCCCGACCGTCGCCACAATCAGGGACGCCATGGGCGCCCTCGCCCGCGCACTGAAGTCGCGCAAGCGCTGTGCCGAAGACACTCCAGGGGGCGCGACTCTCAACGCCCTCGGTGGAGGCGATCCTGGCTGCCTCAGATCGGCGCCCGCCCCCCAGCCAGCCGTCCCCCACGCTCGGCGAAAGCGGCGCAAGAAATCTTCGGCGGGGGGGTCCCGATCCGAAGCGGGGGCGGGCTGGCGGCGGCGGAGCGACGGCGAATCCGAAGGCAGCGATGGCGAGCCTGGGCCGCCGCAGGCGGCAGGTGTTGATGCTACCAAGTCGTACTGGGCGCTGATCGACTCGCTGGAGGAGACCAGGGGGCGCCGGAGCGTTGGAGATTTGGATCGCGGGGCGGGCGGGGCGGGCGGGAGGAAGGCGGAAGCGAGAGGGCTGGGGGACGGGGAGGTGGGACGGCGTGTGCACGTTGGTGAATGAGCAGCGTTGGATTGTTGAATGAGTGAACGTGTCGTTGCAGTCGACGTATTCGGGTGCGTGGATGTGAATGTGAATGCATCTTGTGAAGTGCAAGAACAAAACCTGCTACAAGGCTTGCCTTTCCCTGCGTGTACCACAAAGAGGTAATGTCACGTTTCGCCTCATGGTTACGTACTCATGCAAAATGTGCATCATACGAAGGCGCTCGCGCAGCTGATCATCTGAGCAAATGTTCGTGTGTGCGCCTGTGTAATTCCATTAAGTACATGCACGTCACAACAGTGCCAAAGCCTGTTCACCAGAGGTATGTAGGCACTGAATACCACATCAGACGTGTGTGCGCCTGTTGGCGTTGTCAATCAGATGGAAGGCCGCGTCAATGCAAGAGTGTGATGTTTGTCCTTAAAGCGATGGAATTGCATTCTCTGCCTGGAAGACAGGCAGAAGAATGGGGTTTGTGTTGCCACTAATTGGCGTTGACGGGTAGAACTTGAGATTGCATTTGTCAAGGATTGGCAGATGGGTGCCCTTGCACACGTTCAACGCGTTCCCCCACTACAGCCCTGTTGCTCCTGGGTCTGAACTTACTGCAGTGCATGCTTGCAGCAATCATGCACACATGTTCACAGGTGACGACTTGTACTGTCCCTGAAGAGCGTTGCCCCCCTGAAGTCTTGTTTTCCTATTTCTGCTCACAAAACCTGGAAAATAGGCAAAGCAAAGATGCTGTGGTAGGAAGGACTTTCGACTGCAGGTTTGAATTGCACAGATGCAGCATATGTATGAAGCACTGTTAGGCAATGCCAATGCATGTTCATGTGGACAGGTTTTGAAGCATGGTTTTACAAAGTTGTGGAAACTCAGGACGCAAACCTTTTTAGAAGTTGGCTTTGCTGCGATTGCATTCATTCAGTTCTGCATATGTTCTGTGTTGAGAACAGTGCTGCTTAAGTGCCCTGGAGTTTTTCAGCACACTGAAGTTGCTGCCATCGCTAAGGTAGTACTCTAACATCAATCATCAACCGAACATGGCCGAAGCAGGAGATAATGTCCCATTCTACCCCTTTGCCTCTTCATGGGTTGTAGGCTTACCTGACAGGCATTGGCGACTGCCACAGGCATCCTGGCAGTTGTTTGGCATGATATTGGCTGGATTTCATACTTGTTGGGGGAGTAATTTGTTGACACTGTGCACAGTGGTGTGGGACTCTGTCAGAGAAGGACCATAACAGTGAGCCAACATTTGTTAACTGACAACAGGCAAGGAAAGAGACAAAGGCATTGGTTGGATGGCAGATGCCGTCACAGTTTGCAAATCAGCACACCATGTCAACAATGAACGGGCCATCTCTAAATGTCCCTCACCACAGCCTTGAGGTCATCTTAAAATGAGTTTGCAAATACGATAAGCATTAAGCATTCGATTCAGAAGTTTGTTATTTTCCAGTTGTTATGACCTGCCAAGAGAGGCAAACCTTGTATTGGGCTGGCTCTTTCTGTTCAGGATGTGCTCATTTACTCACTTCACAACATCCAGGGCATCACAAACGCACTAAGACACCATCTGTTTTTTACCCCAACCAGTTTGAGGACTGTGACCTGGACCTACTTGGTCTGGAGCATATGCGAACTCACACCGCAGCCGAGGATGTAAAAGATGCCACATCCGATCACGAGGCACAGGACGCTTCCAGCGATGAGGAAATCGTTTTGGGTGCTGAGGGAGAGTTGGAGGCTGCTGCAGAAGACAACCCAGCCAGCAAGGAATCGGACCTGTGGAGGTTGCACTTCAGCCACGAACTCAGCGATGACGACGTGGTGGCCCTCAGAGACAGGAAGAAGGAATTTAGATCGACGACCAACAAGCAACTCAAGGTAGTGTACACAAGGATCAGAGTGCAGGAAAGGGTAAAGGGGGGTGGGATTCAGGAATCTGAGGTTGAATTTGAATCCAACATAGGGTGCCAACCTGCACCTGGTGTTTGGCGCGTGTGGGGTCTATGTTGGGCCCCTGGTAGGTCGATAAGGATAGTTCCCAGACCAGGACGTGAGCATGCATCGTCGGGGTCGGGGAACTCTGACGCAATTTGATGTCAGCTGCTGGGCAGAATAAATGGCAAGCCCAATTTTAGAAATTGCCCAACATTCTCATGTGGCACTAATTTGCAGTTGACTTTTATTGTGCATCTCGGATTCCAGTTATTATTGCCCCATATTTTAACACATTGAAGCAGACAATTCTGAAAATTGTAAATCTCGCATCACAGCTAAAGCATTCAATATCACAGCATTGCCCTGAGCCAGCACCACAGGGGATTCGGTTCAGCTCAGCGTATTGTCTGGTAGTGTGGTATCTCTGTCAGCATATCCAGATAAATATTCATATGTAAGTATAATGCTAAAAAATGTCATGGACAGGCACCTCATCAGCAAAGAATTGGAAATTTTTCTATTTGGTAAGATATGACGCAAGAAAGTGACTGAACATTGATCTCATCGTCGGTTTGCTCTCAGCTTGGTCCAGTTCAAAGCAACTGAATGTAAGCTGAGTGAAGTATACGATGAGATCAGCTGCTACCATGCTTGGTGCTTACAGGGTGATAGACTGTTGACAATAGGCTTGGGACACAAACAATAGCTTCAGTGTGGCATTGTGGCCTTCAGGACACCAGATCAGTGTTTTGCAGAATGATACAAATGTTATCAAAGCAGGGTTCCTTGAGGCAGTGAGAACTGCAGAGGTTGGGGAGCATGATCTCAAGGGGCTCTTGTAAATGCTGTGAACAGTGCCAGCAACTGTTATTTGTATGCCCCAATCTACCGTATATGTCCACACCAATAGCAGAATGTATAGATGCAATGAAATCCAGGGGTAGATGGAGTGACAGCCTCTCTGCTGAGTCTCAAGTATTGGTATCTGCACAGTGTCAGAATAGAGAATGTTCAAGTGGATGGGAAAGGTATGGCCAAGGAAATCTGGCTGCCTTGGTGTTGCCCCCAAACCGAACTATTGGCCTGTCAGGAAAGGCAAAAGACCTATCGGTTGGCCTTGCCTCATGCCTGTTTGCTGTCATTACAGGATGCTTGGCCAGGTGAATGGCGATTATGTGGATGTGACGCCCCAGTGGCCCCTTCCAACCTGCACGAATGTGGGATTGGCAACAGGTTGCAAACTCGGTGGAGGGATATGCACTCTCAGGAAGCAATGCCCCCTGGCAAACATTCACTGCCAAAGTCTGTGGAAGACAACTTGCTCTTCCGGCCTTTGGAGAATGGTGACTTTGTGGATGCACAACAGCGCACATTCTTCAGCCTGCTGGCCAACTACAAGGACGTGCTGTTGCCTGCTAAGCCATATCCCAACAGGTATGATCCGAGGGCTGTGAGAGGGGAATGTAGTCAATGGCCGCAAACATGAAGTTTGAATACCACGCTACAGTGGTGTACATCTGTGACATCATTTGTTCATGTGAGCTATTAATGCGTGAGCAGCTGATTTGGCAGTGATCGGAAAGGTAGCATGCAAGTTGTCTTGCTCCTTTTGCTAGATAATACGATCCTGTGACAAAGTTCAATAAACCTTCCATGTCGACAATTCTCCCAAAGGGGAATTGTGGCACACGAAATTTCTTGGTTGTATATGAGCATTGCTGTGTTCATAGCAGTGTAAGCAGGCTGAAACTTTTGCTGTTGAGGTATTGTGCATTCTCATAGGAATGACTGTTCTGTGCTGCGGCATCCCTCTCATTGCCAAATTTTGTCAAATTTTGTGGTTAACCATTTTGGTCTGCCTGCTGTAGCATTCCTGCCCCAGATCCCTTGAGAGACGCATACGTCCTACATTGCGTGAACCACATCCTTCGCAGCAGGTTCGCCGTCCGCAGGAATGACAGCAGCCTCAAGAAGCAGGGCGCCGGGGCGACAGCGGAGAGCGACGAGGGCGTGCTGCGTGACCAGGGCTTCACACGCCCAAGGGTGCTAATTCTGGTGCCTATGAAGAATGCTGCGTTTCAAGTGGTTCACAAGATGATGAAGCTGGCAGTTGACAAGGCAAAGGGGAGGACACATGTGAGACCATGCGCCTGCTGTGCCCAACGTTATGTTTGGAGGAAATGCTTTTGTCCTTTCTGATGCGAGTAACTGCGGTGCTCACAATTGGGTATTGTGCCCTTGTTCACACTGTAGTTGTCAACCCCTCTGGTGGAATAGACGTCTTTTATGAAAAGGACTGCCCCAGCAGCATGCACTCTTGGAAGGATGGCAATTTGGGGTGTTTGGATGAGGTTATAATTTCATGAATTCGATGTTGTAAAGGATAGGGTGTTCATCGTTCCAGTTGTGGGCTTAGGATGACAGTAACAACTACACAATGGGGATGGAACCAGTTCTATTTCCTCTGGATGTTGGAACTAGACCCAAATTGGCATGACAGGAAGTGGCACACCTGGGTCACTGTCACAGGTGCATGGAGACAACTGGCTGTGCTCACGTAAACAGACAACATCAATTGAAATGCATGCACTCCAATTGAACGGACAGAATTCCGTTGGTGATACTACCTCTGTCTCAAAAGTATTGTCTAAATTTGTTTTCATGAAAACGAAGGTCAAAACATGCGAGGCAGAAAAAATGACCTAAACAGCTCTGGCGTGCTTTTCTAGGAGCTATCCATAATGACCTCGAACGTCGCAAATGGCCTAGTGGTTGTCGAGTTATGCCCCAACGCATATAGGCAGGGCTTTAACGTTGCAAGCACTTGTCGCTGCCATGGCGAGCTCGTCTCGCCCGTCAAGAAGGGCGGAATCAGCTGAGCTGCCATTGGGGCAGCGCTGTGCCTTGGTCGTCAGGTGTGCATTTGCAATGCACGCGTCTAGCGATTGCATTCCAAACGGGAAGGCGCTGGAGATCGCAGCGCAATTCAGAGTTTCAACAAAGACCGTGAAAAGGTGGTGGCCTAGAGTGATGGAACAAACTAGATCGGTGCAATAGCATCGATCTAGGAGATGAGGCAAGGTCAGGACGGCCTTGCCTCCTGATGCTGACCAAGGAAACAACTTTGGTAGAGGTGAACAAAGGGAATAGCTGGGGGATGGTGAGGCAGAATGCTCACGAAATTAAGAATTCTGACATTGAAGTAAGCTAAGTTTCGGTTTGTAGGTGGCGTAAAGCGATGGGGGCAATGTGCAAACAGCGGTGGATCAAACATCGCTAGATCCAAAGTAGATGTAGGGCAGATTGGTGTTTGTAGTGAACAAGGCCAACGGGAGAAGGATGGTGTACGATGTTATGCTGAATTCAATCCGTGTGGATGAAACTCGGTTCTGTTTGATGGTGGACAGTGAGCATGCACGTTATTTCCCAAAGGAAGTAGTGGGTAGTATTGCCACAGTCCAACACAAAAGCCACATTCTAAAGACAATGTTCATTGTGGCAAACGCTGGCCGGATCTGGCCCATCAATTCGATGGGAAGATTGGAATCTGACGTGTGTCCAAAGAAAAGGTGGCAGAAAAAAGTAGTATGTACCACCAAAAGGGGAACAGTTACCAAGTGGGCACCACAGTAGACTCCGCTTGGTATCACAAGCAGTATGTTGAGTAGCTCTTGCTGGCAATCAAGACAAAAATGCCATGGATGCAAAGCAAGAAGATGTCGGTTCAACAGGATGGGGCTAGGCCCCACACAGGAAAGGAAACTTGGAAGCCCTTTAGGGAGCTGAGCGTGTGGAGGGCTGGTTGATTGACTTGATTACCCAGCCAGCGCAATCCCCTGATTTGAACATCATCAACCTTGGGTTTTTTAGATCGTTGAAGACAAGGGTACTTGAAATGCGATTTAGCAGTGTGGATAAGATGGCAGGAGTTGTTGAGGGGGCATATGAACAGTATGATGCAGAAACCCTGGAGTGGGTGTGGCAGTGCTTATTTGTTGTGCACAACAGCAAAGTGCTTGAGGAGTTTGGAGGAAATGGCTACACAGTGGAACATATGGGTATTAGGCCTAACAACATGGGGAACTTGGGGAGTGTGCAACAGTGGACAAAGAAGCTTTTCAAAATGCCCTGGAATTCTTGATTTATTTATTATGGTGCTAATTGCGTGTGATGGGGCTCCGCATCCATAGGAAATCAACCAAAGAATCTGGTGTCAAGTTGACAAGTTGAGTTGATCTTAGAAAGTTATTGTAACAAAACAAACTCCGACAATGTTTCTGAGACGGAGGTAGTATTTAATGCCCCACTCGGTCAGTGCATTTGAAAATTGTTCACTAGCAATGTTTGAGAGTACCAACAATTGTTGGAACATCCACATAGGAGGCACAGTGAAGTCCAAACCAGCTTGTTAACTTTGAAGTTGTCCCCACTGGCATCGTTGTTTAGGCGGGTCACATCAGCGTCGTCAGGCTCTGTTGTTATTTTTTTTATTTCCTTAATTACTTGGCGTTCGCTGAGCCCAACTCCGCTCTCAGCAGCACAAACATGATGTCAACAGCCTGTGCCACCTTTCGGCGATGTAGGTCAGGAAAAAATAGAGGGATGTCCATCAAAAGCAAGGGTCATGTAAAGAGGTGGCTGGTGACTGGGAGCAATGGAGTCATCAAAATGTAGCATCTAATGTCAGAATGTAGCTTCAGCAGGAATGTATCAGATGTCCCAATGTTCGAAGGTCCAAAATCCCGAAAGTGTTTCAGGATGTGTTGCTGAGTTGCGATTGCTGCTGTTGAAATTCCACAGTACCGAAACAAGTTCGTTGACCAGTTTGGACCAGACGAAGTGCTTGAGGAGGCTCTAAAGAGGATCTCCAGGAGGAGTGACAAAATGCCAGCGGAACACACAGCCCTGTTTCATGGCAACACCGAAGACGACTTCAGCCTGGGGATCAGGTTTTCAAGGTTTGTGTTTTGCTGCTGTGGATGTTGTGAACACTGCTGCAATCCCATTTGGATGCTGCATTGGTTGTTCTATTGGTGCAGAAGGTCTTACTTCCAGCTGTTGCCAACCTTCCAATTGGTCTGTTGAGGTCTCCCGCTCATTGCACCTTTGCACATGCTTAGGGGGTTGTCAACTGTGTAGACACACTTCTGCATGCTCTACTCACAGCACCTTGGAATAACCCAGTAACCATTCGTGCTGGTGACCTGTGGGCAACTAGCTCTTCTGTAACAGTGCATGAATGTCGACATAGGAGACTGTTGTTTTTTTGCATTTCTTGGCAGAAACGAAACAGGCCACACACTACAGCACTGCCTTTGCCTGAAGTGGAAACTACCCTTGTCTCCAGTTGGGAAATTGATGCAGAAGCCTGCAAGTTGGCAGGAATAGCATCCAACAGTGGCAATGCATCATCGAACCGTGGCAATGCATCATCCAACCTTGCGCACACCAACGCAATCACCATCACCACTGAACCTATGCTGTACTTTCAAGTCACCGTGACCAAGTACTGGCATCGCTGAGAAATCCATGAATTGGCAATGCTGGGAGAATATTGATGCTGTGGGTCAATGTGGACTGATGGAATGCGCAAATGGAAAAGCCTAAGCTGAAACCTGTGCATGGCAGGATGTCCTTGCACCTTTATGAGGACTTCTACTCTGCTGACGTCATTGTTGCCAGTCCCATCAGTTTGGCTGTTATGCTTGGCAATAAGGGTGCCGATTTCCTGTCTTCGATTGAGGTCCTTGTGATCGATCAAGCCGATGTCCTCACAATGCAAAACTGGCAGCATGTAGACACGGGTGAGGCTGTTGGGGACACTGTGGCTTGCTGTGCACTTTTGTTTGCGGATTAACAGTCCTCAGGGGAGGTGTCGGCCCCATGGTGGGCGTTGATTGTTGGACATTTTGCTTGTGCCAGCGCTATTCCTGCCATCTGTGAGTGTTTTTGTAGTGAATGGCAGTGATACTATGCAGGTGTGTTTTTGTTTTGGATTGAATAATGAAAGTTGTCAAGCAACATAGCTTTGTATCTCACTCCCATGGTGGTGTTTCTCCTATCCCTTTGAAACCTAAAAGCTCATTTTCTTGGTGGCAGCTGCTGCTCTGGGAGTGCTATTGCTGGTTTTGTTGCAGTCCTTCAAGGCTAGAGGATGGGGTGGGTGGGGAGGAAACATGTCATACAACGGACAAGCCCCCAAAAGCAAGTGTATGTAAGACTCTTTGTTGCACCACACTGCGAAAAGGTGATGCAGGAGGGGGGAGGGGGGGAGTATGAAAGCTGCTCAATATCTGCTCGGTTGTCCACATCCAGCTCTCTAGAAATCCTCACAAGCAAGGCATGGGTTGCGTCATTAGAAGCAATGTGTCAGTCTCCTGCTATGCAGTGAATCCAAATCTACCGATCTGCTGAGATTGTGCTATCCAGCCATTCACTCTCTGCATGCCTGCCTCAGCCACAGCCGTCTGTCACAGCAGACCACTCGCGATTGATCATTGAGAATGTGCATTTGAAGGAGCATCGACTTAATTCTGCAAGGCTTTTTGCTCACAGTCATAGGCTCATCTCTTTGCATTCTCACTTATATGCTCCACCATAAACCCGAAATCCCGCTCCTGCGGATTGCACCATACCTTGGGAAACTATTTGCAATACCGCATTCAGAGCTGGCGCTGGATTAAGACCATGGAGCTTTCTTGTTGCAGTCGTGAAGTGCTTGAATCATCTGCCCAAGGAGCAGCACGGCACTGACATCATGAGGGTGCATGAATGGCAACTGAAGGGCAATGCACGGCATTTCCGACAGACAGTGATGCTCTCTTCCTTTGGCACTGCTGACTTGAATGCAATGTTCAACAAGTGCTCGAATTTTGGAGGGATGGCAATGCTGCACTGCTGGCCTCAAGGTAGCCCTGCTGCTGCAGACCACCATTTGGCACCAAACAGCTGGCATAGTTGGCATCAATTCCTTACTTGTGAAATGATGAAGGGCAACTTGATGCCCTTGATGTGATGTGCTTGTTGTGTAGGGCTTTGTGATGATTGCAGTGCTGTGCATTCAGGCCTTTTTGAAGCTTGGTACAGTTTTGGGCAGCGCGGCAGGTTTCTTGGCAATCTGAGCACTACTGTTGGCAGAGTCCAGCCAGTAAGGTCCACAGAAATTGAGGACAGGTGTCTCCTCTACAGCAGTGACGAGGTACCCTGATGGTGGTGCCGTTGGCAAACTCGTGTCGCTCTGAGAGCTAACCTTATAATTTCCGCAGTCTTCAGAGTCCTGATTCTGCACTGATGGGGCAGAGCACCCAGCAATGCAGCGTTGACGGAGAGCAGATGAAGTGGGCATCCAAGACACCACCCCAAAGCAGTGGCAATTCTGTGAACCCAAGAAGCTGTTGGATCTTTGATATACCATTTTCTGTTGCATTCTATACTGTATGCAATGGGTGGCTGTGGATCCAATATCAGTGGACACAAAGCTGGACTTTTCCCACTTTGCATTATTGTTGTTCTATTGGTGGAAAGAAGAGAAGACATCCCCAGCAGAAAGCTTCAAGTCAACACAAGATTTGCCTGTCCATGTGTGTCATTGCCATTGGTTAAAGTCACAGATCAGTTGGTGTTTGAGTCATGCATAAATCTCGTCCACAGCTGATTGTTTAACTGGTGGATATTGTTCGATAGTTCCATTCTTGTTGTTGAGATGCGGGCAGCAGCGCAACATCAATTCTTCTGTCTACTTTTCTTCCTCAGGAGTGCTTGGCGAGATTCGCCCCCTTGTCCACCAGGTTTTTGAGCGAGTAAACGTGCCGAGCCTGTCAGACAGCCCAAACGCGATGCTTGAGTACTTCAAAGCCAAAGTGTTTCCCAGGGTGAGCCATTCGCCTTTGCAAAGCTTCGGGCCTGTTGCAGGTGATGCAGAAGTGCTCATGCTCTGTGTCTTGCTTGAGCTTAGACAACACCTGCAAAGGTGGATAAGGGCAAGTTGAGTTTCTGGCGTGTTGCTGCAGCTTGTGTACACTTTCACTGTATTTTGTGCTTGGGTCTGCGTTCCTTTTCCACCGTGCTTTTTCTCTGCAGTCCCATTTGCTTGGGCAGCAGATCTAGTCCAGCCCTGGAACTTGAAGACATGCTGTGAAATTGCACAGAAGAGCTAAGTATTCTGAGAGACTGCTGAATTGGTTCTTTTCCCTTTTGGCAAATGTCTAAGCGACCACACGGGTTTGCTCACATGAATAATTATGTTGATGATCATCTGTCTCCATTTAACTTTTCACACTGCTTTGTTACACCTCTCAAGGTCCATGTTCTGTTGTCTAGATGTCGTCAAACGATGACTCTCGTTTGTGCCGTGTACATTCAGAGGAAAACTTGGGTATTGAAGAGGCAAACAACAGTTCAAAATTTGCAAGCCTTGGCATCGCCAGCCAGGCACACCGATCCTCTTTTGCCATGCGTTGGTGAACAAAGTGTATAGTGAGTTCTCGAAGCTTAGTTGGCCGTATATGATGGATCGCTGATGGCGATGTGGTGCTGGCAGCTCAATGGCGGTGGCCTTGGCTCTGGCGTGCTACTCTTCATCCCACATTACTTTGACTTCGTGCACGTGCGAAACTTCATCAAGGAGGAGGGCATAGAGCATGGTAACATATCTGAGTACAGCAAACCGCGCCAGATCGCCCACGTGAGGCGGCTGTTTGCACGCGGTGAAAGGCGCCTCCTGTTGTACACAGAGAGGACACACTTTTACAATCGATGTGTGATCAGGGGCTGCAAGGTGAGCATGTGGGCAACAGTTGATATGTCATTTGCTGTAAAACTGGGAATGGCGTGACTATGTACCCAACTGAAAGCTGAGCCCTTTGTGAGCTGTTTGGGACCAAATGTGTCAAATGCACGCATTGCCTAGTTGCGCACATCAAACGCCATTAGCAGACTATATTCGCCACCATATTTGACCCAGCGGCAAGGTTTCAAATGCAACCCCTGTCTATTCACACAGGCATCCCCTGGCCGTTGAGCGCAACTTGGTCCACAGCCAGAGCTGTGCTGATGTTGTGAATGAGCAGCGATGCACAAATAGCGTGATTGAAGTGCGGCTGCCTCCACTTTGAAGGTCCAAGGGCTGTGCTTGTGTCGCTTTCGACATGGTATTCACACACGAGCACTCCTTGCTTGATATCAACTGCCTCGCAGCCACCGGACCTGCACACTGGAACCCTTTCTTTGATCCCGAATTGAGGTGAAGTTTTCTGACCCTTCAGCTGACTGCCGATCTCAAATGCCCTGACATGCGGCAGGATATCGTTTTCTATGGACTGCCTTACCACGCCCACTTCTACTCCGAGATCGTCAACCTAATGGAGGAGGCTTCCCTGGAATCCAGGCCCACAGTGACGGTGTTGTTTTCGCGATTCAACCTGCTGGAGCTGGAGGGGGTGGTGGGTGCCCAGAGGGCCAGGAAGATGGTCAAGGGCGAGTCATCAGCGTACATGTTCTGCTGAAGGGGTGAAGAGGGAAAATGGGAATTCCCAAATTGGGCTAAGGGAGAGCCATCGCACAGATGATAGGGACAAGTGTGGAGGTTGAATACGCATCAAACTGATGCAGTTGCTCGGGGCGTTGCACCTTCAGTGGTGGGGGAGGTGTCTGGTTGTTGTGGACGAGAGTTGCTTGCTAGGTACGCATTCAAGAGGGCCGCTGTCGTTATGGGAAGCACAGTTGGTGTTGCACATGTTTGCTGTACTTGTGTATACAAGCACATGAGTTTTGTATAATGCAAAACACTCCAAAGAAAGGCATGTGTTGACTGTTAAGGGTGCAGTGTGGTGGAACTCAATCTGGGCCATTCAACGCAGTGTGGCGTGCCGAACAGATGCAAGGGAACCGTGATCACATCTTGGGCAAGATAGTCAGGACTTTTGCCATGCCATCCAAGTTTGATTTTGCATTCACTAAGGGAAGACGCTATGTGGATTTTGTTACGCTGAGCGTCAGACATCACTGAACACCTTAGCATTAATCCGAATGTCGAAACCAGGATACTCAGCACCATAACATAATGGTATTGTGCAAATTTATTATGTATTGAAGAAAGGAAAACAGCCAAAACTGCAGCAATTTTAGTGGGCTCAAAATTGAGATGAAAAAAGCCATGGCAGATGACGGGGGGCAGTTTTGAACCCCGCCAATTGAGATTCTACTGCGCTTTTCATTAAGTCTGAACGGCAAAGGGAAGCTTTGAGACAAGTCATAAGTTTCTTGCCATTTTCAGCAGCGTTTTGGGTATCTCCCGAGCTTATGTCGATTTGTTGCAACTACACAATCTCTCATTGGTCCATGAACCACCCCGCACAATTTGTTTGCTTCAGAGGGGTGTTCACAAGCTACCCATGCCTGCCTTTGCCAAAGGAATTTCGTGCTGTGTGAGGGAACACCACAAGGGCACGGATAGTATCGAACCTTGCGACGTCCTTGCTGTTTCAGTGATTTCCCCTCATTTATGATGAAATATATTGTTTTGACTGGGGCAAACGTTAGCCGCAGTGGTGTCCGAGTGGTTAAGGAGATGTACTAGAAATCCATTGGGCTTCGCCCGCGCAGGTTCGAATCCTGCCCACTGCGGAAGCTTTTCCGTTCCGTTACTTTTTGCATCCCATCCCTCACCACGCGGCCGCCCTCGGACCCGCATCCCCTGTGGCGCAAGGCCAATGCCCCGGTCCACCGCACGCATTTCCGGCCCCTCACTGCCCCTCGCAGATCCACACCCACACACGCCCCCAACCCCGTGCAACAGACCGTAACAGACCGCAACACAACGTCTTGCATCACGCGCTCAACACGCCAAGGTGAAACTGGGCGCCCGCCTGATGGCCACGGCATCGGGCCATCATCGCCGTCATTAGAGTTTATTGTAGACAGCAAGGCAAGGGGGTAGACGCCAGCTCCCCATGTCTCCCAAGGATTGGGCCATTGGCGGAGATCCCCTTTCCACCTTCCCCTCTCCTTCCTCACCCTCCCCCCTAAACTACGCCCCCCAGCCAGCGATGACCGTGCACGCCCGCATCCAGCTTCCGCCTAGCCCCTGCACTGCACGCCACCCGCTGCCCCCTGAGGCCGCTCTTTGCAAACGCCACCAGCCCCCCCCCCCTCCCCAGTGGGTAGTCCCCACCCCTCGCCTGAAACATACAGGCGGACATCCTCCCCCTGTCGGTGGCCAATCAGCCCTCCGGCCCCCGACCTTGCCGGCAACCGGGCCAGAAAGGGAGCCCCGGGATGCCATCTGGCGACAGGGCGGCCAAGGGGTCGGACCCGCCCTGGAAGGGCCTCACCGGCGACCGCCGTGTCCAGCGCGAGTTCCGGGCGCTTCGCAAGCTCGTGGAGGAGGGCGGCGTGCCGCAGGTGGCGGACCTGGAGTACGTGAACGACTCGATCCGCAGGTGGGGGCCGATTTGCTGAATTCCCAAACAGGGAGCGCCCGGGCGACGGGGGGTGGGTCGCGGGCAAGGCGGCGGTCCCGTCGCCTTCTGTAGCCCGTTCGGGGAAGGCAGTCGCGGCTGTGGGCATTCTCGGACATGGTTGGATGTCATTTGCACGCGGACGGGACAAAGAACGTGAGGTGTTGATTGAAGTCGCGTGGACTCCCATCAGCGGCAAACGCCAGAAGCAGAAGAAGCAAGCTTGACGGTAAAATGTCCCACGCCTTGTCCTCGCCGAACGGCGAAATCTTGAAGCCGGGGTTCTGAGGTGTGCTGGGTTGCCCTGTTGCGCAGGTGGAGCCTGAAGCTGAAGAATTTCGACGACGACGTGCCCGGCGGCCGGCAGCTGAACCAGGACCTGGCGCAGCTGGCGGCGCGGCACGGGCAGGACCACCTGGCGATGGAGATCACCTTCCCCGAGGACTACCCCCAGCAGCCGTTCTTCATCCGTGTGGTGACGCCCCGCTGCCGGTGGTACACCGGGCACGTGAGTGGGATGGGCAACCGCGAAATGTGGCGAAGGCGACGGCATTGAATTTGCGCGGATGGGTGGGATTGGGTGTTGAGCCCGTGGGACGGCGCCAGCAGGAGTCACGGTCAGCCAAGCGTGTGGATTCCACTGTGATCTTGCCTCAACATGGCCTCCACACTTCCTTCAGTCAATCATCGCGTCGGGAAGAAAAATATATGACGCCACAAGCTCCCTGTGGGTTCCCCAATAAATGGACTTTCTCCGGAGATAGTCCCTCCAGAGATGTTGGCATTGTCAGCTCTGGTCAGGCAATAATCTCATTGGGTTGTTGGCTTGCACCTATGTTTGAGAGCCTTTTGCACATGTCTTTTGCGCACATCCGTTGAGTGAAATGCGCCTTCACCACTGTTGGTCTTCACCAAACGCTCCATGCACTTGCGACCTTTCTTCGACCTTGTGGAAGCTTTCTTTTTAAACACCTCTTGCAGGGGCTAAGGATTGGGAGGAGACCTCCGTCTAGTGGTAGGGGTGGTAAATAGAGCTGCCTGGGTGCCAGTCCCAAAAGCATTGGTGGGGGCCACACTATTTCACGATGCTCATCTTGAATGCATTAATCAACTTAGTGTTCCTTGCACTAGGATCTGCAGCAGCTGAAGCCAAGCGTCTTTGGCTCTGATTTAAAGTGTCTGAGCCCCAATATGCCAGACACCTTGTTGTGCTGCCTCACTTTCAACTTTAATGAGTCCGCATGAGCAATACGTTCAAACGTATCTGCAATACGTTTCACAACAAGTGTTGCTCAAGAGGGGAACCCGCCCATTCCAGGGGGGTCTTTTTGCTTCTGACAGTGACAGCCTTCACCTCCATGTCCCAATTTGTCTGGATTCGTGCCATGTTCTTCAGGTCACTGCTGGTGGCTCCATTTGCATAGAGGCGCTGACCCTGAGTGGCACTCCCAATTCGTGGCAGCCAGACTACTGCGTGGAATCGATGCTGAATATCATCATCCACAACATGATCGACTGTGAGGTGGTCTACGTGCAGACGCCCACTGGGCCAGGCGGCCTCAGTGGCCCGCTGCGAATCGACCTGGAGCGAAAATACACCAGCAACGTGATGGCACCGTATTCTGAGTACGAAGCCCAGTCAGCCTTCAGACGGATGGAGGCAAACCACCAGCGGCTGGGTTGGGGCCCCACAGGGGGTGCCAGTGGTTCGGGGCAGGCCAGCCGAGCCAGGAGTTCTGCCAGGCTAGCTGACAAGGCTGGAGCGGGTGGAGCACTGTTATCAGCAAAGACATTTGGCGGCTCCTCAAGGAGGATGTTGAGTGGTGGGGGTTTGGGCAGAAGCCACGGGGCATTGAGCAAGGGCGTGCCGCAACTTCCCCCACCGGCCCCGCCACCACCGCTGCGGCTGGGAACCCGAGGGGTTGAGGGAATGGGGATGTCCAGCTCGGGGGGCACACAGGTGGCTGCAATGTCACCCGCAAGGAAGAGGGCCAAGGCATGGCCTGGAGACGTGGGGGCAGGTGGCAAGGTGATCGACCTAACGAGCACCTCACAGCATGGCGAGCAGGTACGAAGTGCCGGTGTAGTCTTGACAACGCTTTGTATCCAGTTGACTTGCGAGGAATCCACGCACCACCCTGGTCCATTCTGAACATTTGGCACTGGTTGTGGCATGTCCTGCTGCAGTTTCCCACACTGCATTTGTTTGAGCTGCTGTGGACTAAAAGCAGGACACATGGATGCTATGCTGGCCATTACAAAGCATTTGTAAAATTTTAGGCCTAGAACTTTCTTGGATTGTTTGTTCATGGGATCATGTGGGGATTGCTGGTATGTGTAAGGGTGAGCTGACTTCAACGCCCCATGGTGATCCATTGCAGGCAGCAGTTGGTACGGCCACACAGCAGCAACCCGCTCACTACACAGATACTTGCAGGCAAGCAAATATGACACAGTGTCTGTCAGTCTGGCACCAGGACATTCATTGGGTGTTTGGCACGTTGTACACGCGCTTGGGACATTGTTCTGCATGCAGAAGCAGCCTGCCCAACCTTCATGCACTGGGGGTGCTTTGTATGGCCTTCAGGTTTCCAACGCAGCCAAAGCTGAGCTCTTTACCGGAAGGAATGTCATCATACCAGAGGAAAAAATCATACAACGTTTGCAAGTCTCATTGCTGTGTTGAAGATTGTTGACCAGTAGGGCTTTGAATGCAAAAAGAGAAGCATGAAGGACAGGAAGACATGTGTTCATCGGTTGGCGGTGGACTGATCTGTTGGGAAACATGGAAAATGCAGCAGTGTCCACCCCTGCAGCTTCCCGCCTGCCTCCAGCACTGACTCATCTCGCATGGCTTCACCCTGGCAGTCCACATCCGCATCCCCATCCAGCCCACATTCCCTGTAGCAGCCAAGTGTGCACACAACGCCATCTGGGTCATGACCATCAGGACGCCCCATTCGACAGACCAGTATATTTGCCACTTTCAACTTGCTTTCACACTGTGAGTAACAAGAATGTACCTTCATCCAGTCTCTTCTGCATCACCTTTGTCTAAGGTCAAGGGGACTGTCACTCTTTTCACCATATGCGCCGATGCAGCAGCTCATCAATGCAGGATGGCAGCAATTGTGTCCAGTGTTTACAAGTGTTGTTTTCACATTTTGCTGCACATCCAACCAACCGAGACTTGCCTCTCTGCACAGGCAGGGGATGGGCATGGATCCCCAGAGGATGGAGGTGGACTTCAACGATGAGGGGCTGGTGACGATGATGCACAGTGGCGTCAGTTACAGCGATGCTGTGGCAGCCCTGGGGGAGGTGGGGGGAGACCTGGATGCTGCGGTGGCGTTCCAGATAGAGTGCCTGGACAGAGGGGGAGCAGCTGCAGTCCTGGGAATGAGGCGCTAGGCAAGCAGGAGTGGCATGTGGGGGCCAGCAGCTTGGCAACGTTCTCTAGCAGTGCAGCAATTGATCACCACGGGCATCAGTCAATGATTCAAATGTTCTTTGCACAGGCTCCATGAGCCACTTGGGATTTCTTTGTGAAGTTATTGTGGATTTTGGCCACGGCATGGCCTGTTAACTGTATTTGGCTAAACTCTGGCTTCACGCTGACTTTGCTGTGCGGACGATGGAGCAAGTAGGAGATAGAGATAGCCTCAATGTGCATTGCTTGGGGTAACAGCATGTGTCAAGCGAGCCAGACCTTGGCTCTGACCACTCCTGTCTTGAGGGGGATTGCGTTACACATCTTGGTTGCGTGCTGGCGCTTCCTGGTGCAGCGGGCCTGGCAGCACGAGTGCCCTTTCAGGCATTCTAGATTGGCTGGGCTTTGCAGATACAGCAACCACGATGCATTCTCTTTCCATTTTTTCCTTTGCTTGTTGGTGGACGCATTGGCCCACCAAGGGGATCAACCTCGAGGTTGCAGAGCCATTGCAGAAGTGTAAATCCTTTGACTGGAATTTGGTTCATTGATTTTGGATGATTGGGGATGCACTGGGGCTATGCGGAGACGTTGCGCCATTGGGTGTTGACAGCAGGTGTGAACGCTCTGCACGGGAACATTCCACCGCTGTTCCTTTTGCCTGGCCGGTGGGAGTGCGAACGTTGTAAACGTTGTAGCCGATGGTTTGTGCGTCTTGGCGGCCATTCGACGTAAGGAGGGGCCCCTCCAAGGGCCGCCGGTGTCGGCAGCTGCCTTTTGGGCGAGGCTGCTTTCCATGGCATCCGTCAAACTCAGCACAGTACTTTGCGACGTGATTGAGGGCGCCACTGTCCTACTACACTTGACGACACTACATCAAGATTACATATTGTACTGCACTACGTGAGGACAGTACATGTGTAACGTTGTGTGTTGAGACAGTCCAGAAGTTGGTCCTTCTGCCCAACGCTGTGCACTTTGTCAATCCCTAATTCGTCAAACTGAACCTGTAACAATTGCTGCACTTAAGCAAAAGGCGGGTGCACACTTGAGGGGACGGCGTTTGAATTTCTCTCTCCCAACACATTGAAGATAGTCCTTGTTCATGGCGATCGGAAGCGGCATTTGTCCAACTTTCGGAGATCGGAGACGTGTCTCCGAGTAGCCCGCCCCTTGCAACCGCTGGCGATGTCGCGGTGTGCCTCTTAACAAGGTCACGCACATTCCTAGCATGCTGGGAATGCGTATCCGGCATGTGGATCCGGACCCTAACAATGCCGGTACCCCCCTCCCTTGCGCCCTTCCCAGACTGGGATGAATTGCAACATGACTCGGACCGCCACTGTTTGTGTTTTCTTGGTCTTTGTTTTTGTTTCTTTTGTTTCGATTCCAAAATGCCACATCGCATTTCAGTTTCCAGGTGCCTCCCCCGTCCTATCGCCAGAAGGACCTCCTGTGTTGCACCGAGTCGATGCATCCCACATCATCATTTTTTTGGATAACAAGGCAATGAGGTAGCCGTCGGCTTCTTATTTTGCCCGAGCAAAGCAGTGTATACGTTGAGTTCATCAACTCTAACGTACGACACAAACAAAGTATTGGAATCTACCCACTCGCAAATGCCAAGAAGCTTTGGTCGATGATGCATCCACCCGGGGGATGTCGCTGCAAACGAAAGCTTTGCCCAAGAAATGTTCCGTCGCCCGGAACAGATCTGCCGCCATCGTTGCTTTCAGCTCAACAGCCGCCTGGGCTCCGAAACATGTGATCGACCCAACGGATCGACATCGATCCTGCCGACTGCCACCCGCAACCACAGCAGGAAGGGCGCCCGCGGCAATAGTTGGGCGAGGCGGGCGCTGTCAATCAGCCGGGGCCGATCGACTGTGAGTGACGAGCGCAGCGCCGCGGTTTGCCGTCACCGCGAGTGCGTTTCGATCAACAGTGCGCCGGAGAACTTCGCTTGAGGGCGAAGCCCGACGGGAGCTCTTTGCAAGGGCATCTTGGCACGGGTGCGGCCCTCGGGCGGGTGATCGCGTTCGCGGCCAGGACGGCAGAGGTTTGGCAAAGAATGACGGGACGCGGACCCCCGAGTCCCAGCAGCCGGCGGCGTGGACGAAAGTCGAGTTGCCATCGTTCGGGAACTGCCCAGTCGCGCACCGATGTGTGGGGCACAGGGCCAGCCGTTCCAAAAGCTGCGCAGCGTCCCGAACACGGCGCACATTTTGCGAACTGAGGATGCGCGATGGTGTCCCGACACATCCCGGAGGCAATGCCTTTATCCTCTGCCTTGAGCGCCAAACCTGCGCAGTCCTGGCGCTGTACGCTGTGGTGTATGCGGACTGAATGGCGTGTGCAAGCCGCTGCGGCGACGCGCCATTTTGGGCCAGCGTCTTTCCCTTCAAATCTCAAGGGCGGACTCACTGGGTGCGCCAGCAGGTGTTCAAGCACTGTGCCACTCCCGGGTGAAAAGTGTGATGGAAGGTGAGGTGGTGGTTGATCACGGGGCGTCATGTGTAGTAACCCCCGCGGGGTCCACTCTTTCCTCGGCGGCGATGGATTCGAGGTCATACAATGCGGCAGCCGGAGGGCCCCCTACGTGGGCTGACAACAAGGTGACCGACGAGATCGAGGTGAGCGTCGAGATCCCTCCGTGCTGGTGGCAGTCGACCACATGGATTGCTGCGGTACAGGCGTGCGCAGCGCTGTGCATGTACTTCCTCCCCAAAAGAATGGCGGTTACCAAAACAGACAAATCGGTGTTAAATATCTGTTCAAACGTAACATTCAACATCAAAACACGGAAAGACAAGGAGCGGAACTTTTAGCAACCACCCTCATCTACCACAGGAATTAAGTCCTAGGCCGTTTCATAACGCATCAAAAAGCGGGTTGGATCAACATATTCCACCTGACAGCGACCCTTGACACGTCCTCCCCCTGCTCTGCATTTGTTCCTTGCCAACGTAAGGCAAATTGAATTCTCTGCCGCTTTCTGCCTCAAGTTTGCACTCCGCGGTAGTGAGCAAAGAGTCACACACACGCTTCATGGTCAATGGCCGTTTCAGAGCCACCTTGAGACTTGGCACGACATTAGGTCTGACGTGCCCGTTTTGAGGGCTCGCATGTCCCTCAGAACTTAGTCATGACTAAGTTCAATTGATTCTAAGACCAATTGATCAATTGATATAAAAACTTGGTTGGTCAGAATCAACACAAAATGCAATACCTGGTTAAAATTGCAGCGTTGTTGAAGATGCTCTGATGGTTTATTCGAGGCCGCAAATCATAAGCGCCATTCCTTTTGGGACGGAGGTAGTATGCCTTGAAAATTGTGTCAGTGTGTCCCGCGATTGCCGCACACTGAATTCGACAAATATTTGTCGAATTCATATTAATATGCCCGTTTAAACGGGCATACTAATCTACTTCGAAGTAGTACCGTTGGTTTTCGTTGGGAGCCGCTCGATCTGCATGCCAGACCTACCAACGCAGCAGCGCATACATTCATCGTATAGCTCTTTCGCCCCACTCATTGCAACGTATCGGCGCACGGAGCGAGGTGCACGTACACATACCCCTTTCTCAATGCGAAGCGCAACGCTCTTCTTCCCATCACTTGGATGCACAAATCTTTTCCTCGAAATTTGGAGTGGTCAGAAACCTGAAGCCATTGTTTCGGATCATATTTGAGCCAGATAAGCAGCGTTCTGTTGAAGGCGCAGCGAGATTTGCAATTAAGAGCATTTTTTCTGTAGCAGCTTGCACACCAGATGCCCCAACAAGATCGGTGTCTGTAATTGCTCCAGAGCTTTGCACCATAGTCAAGATTGCAGGTGCCGCCTCATACGGAATATGCAACGGAGGTGCCATTTATCTTTGCCTGCGAGTACCCTTCAGTGCACATACAAACTTTATGACTTAAACATATGTGCGCGTGTGATATCCTGTGCAGTTGGTGATAGGCATAAAGAATATCACAGCTTTAATGACCAGGCTCGTCGCTATTTGGTCAGCATCGATGTCGCCGAATACTCTTTGCAAAGCACGCCCTCAAGCGAATTCATTTGGTGTTCTGTGTGCCACTGCAATGGAACAGATGAGCCCGCTGGACACATACTACCTCTACGAATGCAGTTTTACTTTCCGGGTGTTTGTGTACCGCTACCGCATTGACGAAGGCAGACTGAAGCACTCCCTGTCGATGTTGCTCAGCACTTACCCGATTCTGGCGGGAAGGGTCTCGAAGGTGAAATCTACAGGTGCACGACAAATGATCAAGCATTGAATCTGGCTCAAGTGAGGGAAGAAAATAACCTATTTCAAAATTAAATGCGCATCTGGATACACAGTAACGCCTTCCGCTCAACCCGTCGCTTACTACAGCCATTCTCACAAGAGCTTGCGCTTCTCATGTAACCTTAGTGACTGCTATCCAGAGTGCAAACACTTGAAGTTGCTTGTAATACACATCCCAACAAGCATGCCGTGCGTATGCCCAGTGCACACACCGTCGGTTAAACCATCGCTCAACACACCCTCTGGGACGATTGCCGGTGCTCGCCATGGCGCCATTGGCTGCTCACGTATGATACAGCACGAATCATACGGATCCTAGATGCATCTAGGATCATCCCATATGGGATGTTGCTGCGCTGCTGATTCGATGAATGGATGTGGTTCAGACTGGACACAATGCAGTGCGTAGATTACAAATGCAACATATATTTCGTCGCGGCCCCAGTGTATTGCAAACTTGGAATCGGGAATAAGGAAGACATTTGAACGATTGACGAGCATCCATCAAACCAGCGACGTCGCAATTACATTTAACAGCCCCTACAGACCACATATTCAGGGCATTAATCAGTGGATATGCTGACCGCACGGCGTTTTCATCACAGGGGACGCGGCGCTTAAATTCAGGTGGTGCTCCGGTCACATCGAACGCAACAGACATCAAGGACCCAAACCGTATCTA